TGCTTGGCATAGGTTCGCCACCACTGGAATAGACTATAATTTTACTGGCAACCATGGGAATTGATAGATGCTGGATAATCTAGTTTCTGGTTGCTTGAGAGTTACTACTAAAAATAGGCCTGATACTATACACTATAATATACCATGCCATAAACTTTGCATTGACTTGATAGTAATATTAAAATACAGTAATTAAAAGCAAATTTAGACACACAAAGTTAACTTAATGAAATACAGTTTTGACATTTCATTGTATCATAAAAAACAGGGTTTTAAAAAAGAATTAAAGGGGTTTTTAAAAAACCGGTTGTTTGAGAGTTCCAGTTGTTTGCGTTCCAGCTAACTAAGTCTACTGTAATTTCATTTTTAATCATGAAAAATGCAGCCCAAAAATGGTCTGCTAATGATATTCCAGCCATGGATCCCTCAAAATGTTATGTTACCTGTTTTTCTGTAAGTTGCTCCCACATGGGATAGTTTAAATAAGGACAGGGGCCAATGTGTCTTTTCTATGGTAATGGAATGCCCAACCTTTGGTATACTGATTTCTGTGGAAAGAACCAACCCAATAAAACTCCATCACCAGCTTGACATCTAAATTAACTTTCTTTTCTGTATAATAGACCAGAAGTGAAATAATAGTAATCATCCAAACAGTTTGGCCAAAAAGATTATGGAAGTTGCAATCCAAAAAAGACCTTGAAGTATAGATTTTGCACCTCCTCTGGCCCATGTGCCAGTAGATCTCGGGGTGGTAGATCAGAGAAAGAAAGAGGCATCCAAATTAGAACTGTAGCAAAGTAATGCCTGTGTTATTCTGAAACTAGCAGCAACAAGTATGCCTAAAATCAAATCAAAAATGTTTTCAATGGATATTAAAACCAGGGAGCAAATTATTAAAACCAGGGAGCAAATTAGGTAAACAAGTGGGATCTTCTTATCATAACATAGGCGACTCGATACTAAATTCATGCCTGTGTATCTACTTTAAAAACCTGCACGGAAGGAAATTCCACAGCCTCTACAGACAGCACTTTGTTTTGGAATGTTAGCTATCACAGGCATGAAAAAGTAGGTAAGACTGCAAAACATATTGCTAATTAGAGGTAATACAGAACCAGGACTGCAAAAGGATTATTTACATGGCATTTTAAAATGAACACTGATATGTAATACCTATCATATTTATAAAAAAGAAAGAAAAAATGAAACTAAAAGCTATTACCTTGTCCAACATCTCCCAGTACATCTGAAGCTCCATTGAACACACATTAAAATTCGTAATTACTCAAGTCATTTTAGATACTAAATAGAATGTGATCCCTTTATGAAAACAGCTAATAATAAATGATCAATTATAATTCAGCTCAGTGAGAAAGTAAATCAAGGTTGGGAACCATGCCCCCAAGATGTTGCATCCTAGCATTCTTCACCACTTGCTATGCTGGCTTCAGCTGCTGAGAGCTGCCATCTAGCAACAAGTCTCCCATCCTTGAAGTAGTTTAACACACTGTCTCACATCTTACTTAACTACAGATTACTTCTGCTTGCCAAGTCAGTTAACACCCTCTATTCTTAAGCACATTCAAGTTTAAAGAACTATAAATTTAGTGAACAAACATCACAGTCAGAGAAGTGCTGATAACATTTTGTAAGTAGCTAAGGAAGACATCTGACCTTTCACTGTAGAGGAGTGTGTACCCAGTTCTTTAATGAGTCTAATGCTATACCTGGACTGACCACACCTACCTTTGAGGAACGAACGAAAGGGAGCCACACCTAGAGTATGCCCCAAATGCCATTTTTACAGAACAGAGAAGCTCAAAATAAGACATGCAGAAAGGCCCTAGTTATGAAGAAAGAAAGCATTAACGTCAGATGGCTATAGAAAAAAAATCATCTGCCTGCTGTATGAACTCTATATTTCAACCACATACAACGAACAAGATACAGCTCTGCTTCTTGTCTCCTCAATATTCAGCTCCTCATTTGAAGTTCATGACAAATTAAGGATGACACTCCAAAGAAACCCAGACTATTCCAGGACACAGACTCTGCTCCTATCATGTCTGAACTCCAGTTCTCAGCTTCTTAGGGTCATAAAATCATAGAGCTGGAAGAGACCACATGGACTATCTAGTCCAACCCCTTACCATGCAGGAAAAGCAAAATCAAAGCACCCCCCAATAGATGGCCATCCAGTTTCTGTTTAAAAGGAAGGAGTTTCCACCTTACTTCAAGGCAGAGAGCGTACATGGAAGCATAAGGAACCAAAAAATAAAGTTTCCTGTTGTCACCACCTACTTCTCTGTCATAATGAGATACTCCATTGCTACCATTTCAAAACAAAACAGGTCTTCTACATACATACCTCTCTTGATTCACAACCCATAACAAACTTCCTACACTTTAAGAGTCTGCCATCCTTGCTGTCATTTATTCTTAATAAATCAACCACCACACAATGATACACACTCAATCACACATAAACTTTTAGTGACACTACTTCCCTTCCTTGAAATGTCACCTTTCAGTATCACTAGTTTTGAACTGGGTTTTACCAAAACCAGAAATGTCTAGATCCACCACTTCCATAAAACCTAATATATGAATAAACTTAATCTCTAACATTCACCAAGGTTTTTTAAAATACAACACCACTACTTTGCTACCGAGGGTGTGTGAAGAAAAGAAGGAAAACAGCGACAAAGAAAGTAGTTACATATAGAGAGGATATAAAGATATAATTGTGTTAGTCTGTAATATTTATGGAAGTGGACTCAGGGTCCATCTACACCAGTGGTTCTCAACCTGGGGTCCCCAGATGTTTTTGGCCTTCAATTCCCAGAAATCCTAACAGCTGTTAAACTGACTGGGATTTCTGGGAATTGTAGGCCAAAAACATCTGGGGACCCCAGGTTGAGAACCACTGATCTACACTGACCATTTAATGCAGTTCAAATATAGCTTCAAACTAAGGTGGCCAAAAAGAAAACCCTTAATGTGTATCAGTCCTTGGTGTTTGTGTAATGACCATCTGGACTTCAAATTGGTTCCAGGATTTCCTATGTAATTACCCGCACACCAAAACCACTTCCTTCAATACCAGTGTGAAACTGCAGGTCAGTGTAGACGGGGCCTCAAATCTGGGAGACAGAATACTGTATTGATTTGAATCCTGGACTATGGCCCCTTCTACACAGCTAAATAAAATCTCACATCTTCTGCTCTGAACTGGGATATTTGGCAGTGCGGACTCAGATATCCCAGTTCAAAGCAGATATTGTGAGATCTTCTTGCCTTGATATTCTGGGTTATATGGCTGTGTGGAAGGGACCTATGACCGGAAAAAAGAACCTGAATCCCCTCTCGGCCATGGAAACCCACTGAGGGCCCTTCAACACAGCCATATAACCCAGAATATCATGACAGAGTAACCAACAATATCTGCACTGAACTGGGTTATCTGAGCCCGCAGTGTCATATATCCCAATTCAAAGCAGAAAATGTGGAATTTTATTCAGCTGTGTGGAAGGGGCCTGAGTGACTCTCTCAGTCTTAGAGGAAGTCAACAGCAAACCTTTTCTGAATAAGTCTTGCCAAGAAAGCCTTTCAGTCGCCATACCTTGGAAACAACATGAAAACACAACAAGTCTATGAAAGCTTATGTTACCCAGGGCCCTTTGACTCAGCCATATAACCCAGAATATCAAGGCTGAATAACCCACAATATGTGCTTTGAACTGGATTATCTGAGTCCACACTGCCATACATTCCAGTTCAAAACAAACAATATGGGATTTTATTCAGCTGTGAGGAAGGGGCTCCAGTCTCAAAGGTGCTACAAGAGCACTACTGAAATAGAAGGCCCTTCAACGCAGTCATATAACCCAGAATATCAAAGCAGATAATTGACAATAACTGTATTGTCAAAGGCTTTCATGGCTGGAATCACTGGGTTGTTGTAGGTTTTTTCGGGCTGTATGGACATGTTCTAGAGCAGTGGTTTTCAACCTGGGGTCCCCAGATGTTTTTGGCCTACAACTCCCAGAAATCCCAGCCGGTTTACCAGCTGCTAGGATTTCTGGGTGTTGAAGGCCAAAAACATCTGGGGACCCCAGGTTGAGAACCACTGTTCTAGAGGCATTCTCTCCTGACGTTTTGCCTGCATCTATGGCAAGCATCCTTAGAGGTAGCGACCTCATTACCTCTGAGGATACTTGCCATGGACGCAGGCGAAACGTCAGGAGAGAATGCCTCTAGAATGTGGCCATAAAGCCTGAAAAAACCTACAACAACCCACTGACAATATCTCCTTTGAACTGGATTATCTGAGTCCACAGTGCCATACAATCCAGTTCAATGTGGATTTCATACAGCTGTGTGGAAGGGGCCAGAGAGGGATCTAAAAGAGGATGAGACACCTTTTACCCCTGAACCTAGAATCATGGGAGCTGTGGTTTAACCAGGTATTTGTCTTTCTCTGCCAAACAGTACTGGTGCTTCAACAAACTGCAACTCCCGGGACTTCACAGCATTGATCCAGGGCTTGTAAGACTACGTTAATTCTACAAGTGCAGGCCTCTCCTTTAGTAGTCAATAAGCATGTTGTATTTCTCAATATTAAATACTGATGTTTAATCAACTCTACCCTCACTTCAAGAAAACCCCATTGCATATTACCCCTCCCCCTCTCTAAATTTCCATTACAGTCTCCTCATTTGCCTTCTAAAAATCCCAACTTCCGTCCTTTATGGTTCTCAACATACCAGGCTTGCTGAGGCCTCGCCGCCCTCCTTTATCACACCCCCCTTTTCTCTTTCTCATCCATCAGCCTCCTCCCAATTCCTCCCCTCGGCCTCCAGAGGAGCCCAGTTCAAACGTCAAGGCTCTCCAGTCTTCCTTTTCCCCTCACAAAACAAGGGCACACGAGGGGCCAGGCCTCCCAGTCCCTCCCACCCGCATCCCTTTACATTTCGGGGCCCTAGTCGTTTACTCACAGCTTCCTTCCGAAGGTCTCTCTGCTGAGGGCCCTCCAACCCGGAAACAGCCCGCCCGGCGGCCACAACAAAATGGCGGCAAGGGACACGCCCCTCCCAGCCAACGCGCGTGCGCGGCATGATCACGCCCCTTTCCGTGTTTGACAAACGGGAGGGGGGAAGAGAGAGAGCCAACCGTCGGCCATGACGAGAAGGTCAAACAGAAGGAGGGAAAGGCTGTGGAAAGCGGCCATGTTGGAAAGGAATGAGTGACGTCACATCTAGGACACTTTCAGAAGAGATGGAGGGAGAACCTCTCTCAAAACACAGGGCTTCTGCAGAGGCACAAATAACACTATGTAAAAAAATTCTGATCCTGGTCTGAAAGTGTGATTTCCTGTTCAATTGTGTGGTACTTACTTTGAAAGTGGTTGTTATACTCTAGAAACTTTGTTTTTGTGGCTGCCACAAACTATGTGGAATTGGTTGAGACTGGATGAAGCATTCATTAAAAAACTAAAGCATTCATTCATTAAAAAACTAAAGCAACCTTCTCTGTGGTGGCCCCTCGGCTGTGGAACGCCCTTCCCATGGACATTAGATCAGTCCCTTTGCTAATGGTGTTTCGAAGAAAACTAAAAACCTGGCTGTTTGAACAGGCGTTCGGATAAATAGTGCAATGAACACGATGAATATAGGAAACGGAAATATGGATGACGAATTGGATCACGATTTTAGTTACGAGACATTAATGTGTTGTTATTGAGATGTCATTAGTTTGTATTTTATACTGTTAATGGTTTTAATATTGTATGTTGTTGGATTGTCTTTTGCTCTTGTTGTGAACCGCGTTGAGTCGCCTACGGGCTGAGAAACTGTGGTATACAAGCAAAGTAAATAAATAAATAAATAAATAAATAAAATGTGCTGTCTAAAAAGCCTTTAAAAACACCTTTTCCATGTTTTTTATGATTTATTTCATATTTTGTATCAAAATAATTCCATAAATTAGTATAAAACCAATAAAAATAGAAGGAGCGCAGGTGACTAAAAATCTTTTGACCAAAAACAGACAACAGCAATGGCATTGTCTGTAGCCTCCAACAATTCTTCCTCTGTACATGAGGCAGGGCATAGTGGACAAGCATACAGATGCGGAGTTGCCTGTTCTGTTCCACAGTCACACAAGGTGTGGGATTTTGCCAGGTTGTCTTTTGATCTACCCACTCCACTTCTGAGTCTATTCAGGGACTTCCACGTTGCCCATTCTTGGTTTGCCTCTGGAGGAAGACCCTCATGGGGGGCCATCCAGTTGGGATTTCCTGATTTAGCTGCCTAGAGGGATACCTTTGCTGTTGCTGGAGGGACGCCAAGAGGAGTGGTAGTTCTCATAAAGCTTTTCCTTGATTTGAGTCTACTGGGAGGAGGCTGGTAGCCATGTAATGGGTGGCTTTCATAGTATTCAACCTTATTTCTCTCACATTTAGCAGCAACTTCCTGTTGCACATCAGGGGGGGGGGGCAATGCCAGATAGCTTGTAGAGTTTATCAACAGGTGTAGGTTTAAGACATCCTGTGATTATTCTGCATGTTATGATAAAACCAATTTATTTATTTATTGTGTCAGGAGCAAAACCAAGATTACAAATGTATTACAACTGTATTAAAAAAAACCCCCACAAATTTGAAAACTTGACATTATATTAAATGTCCTTTGACCAGTAGCTGGCCACTCGGAGTGCCTCTGGTGTTGCTATAAGAAGGTCCTCCATTGTGCATGTGGCAGGGCTCAGACTGCATTGTAGCAGGTGGTCTGTGGTTTGAAACATGTTGCCATCCTGAAATTTTTAGCTTTTAAATTGGGTCCAATATTTCAGAGTGAGAAGCAAGAAAATGCACACCAGTCTTATATTAAAAGCCACGAGTCAACATCCTGCTGAAAATGAGAGTACTGTATATGCAAAGATTATCCTGGAAATGACATTTATAACCCAGGAATAAAAATCGTGTTACACAGTGTAATCCATATGGAATGCTCTCACATTGTAGGAAAAGGCATACTACTTCAATCACAGCAGATTATCATAGATACCAAAGGCCCACTGTATACATTTTATCATACAAAAATGCTACATTTGACCTTCTAAAGCCACATTTCCAAGGACTGTACTTATTTTTCTCCTGAAATCCATCTTTCCATCATTATTACACTCTGTCAACCACCAACTACATGAAGATAACACAGAGGGAAATTTTGCATGTGCATTGAGCTAATCTCTCTTTGCTACTCTGCTGCTGAATACACATGCCCAGTGTGGAATACACTACACCATGTTGAAACAGTGGATGTGGCTCTTAATAAGATGCCACATTAGCACAGGATGTTTACGCCCTACACCACTGGAGAAATTGTACTCTTTGCCAATATTGCACCACCTGACATCCGTTGGGAAGTAGCAGCCTGCAATGAAAGGATCAAGGTATGGACATCTCCTGCCCATCCTCTGTTTGGATATTAGCCAGCAAGCCAACGCCTTAAATTGAGAAATAGCTTCCTAAGATCTACAGACATACTCACAAGAGCACTTCAGCAAGTGGGACTCTGAAAGTGGAAGGTTAAAACCCGGAACCTCAATCAGTGGTTGATACCAGATGAGAAACTCCCTCCTGGGCACACAGAAGACTGGATGAGTTGGAAGGTGCTGAACAAATTGTGCTCTGGTACCATGAGATGCAGAAGTAATCTTAAGAAATGGGGCCACAAAGTGGAATTCATGACATGTGAGTGTGGAGAAGAGCAAACCCAGACCACTTACTACAATGCAGTCTGAGTCCTGCCACATGCACAATGGAGGACCTTCTTACAGTGACACCAGAGGCATTCGACCAGCTTCTGGTCAAAGGAAATTTATAATAATAATAATAATAATAATAATAATAATAATAATAATAATCTTTATTTGTTACCCCGCCACCATCTCCCCAATGGGGACTCGGAGCGGCTTACATGAGGCCAAGCCCAAACGACAATTACAATAAAGAAAACCAAAACACAAACCGAAAACGTGAACAATAAACAACAACATCATAGTTAAATAAAACACATGAATACATAACAATATGAAAAATAAAAAAATATGCACAGGCGCTATAATAATGGGCGGGCAACATGTAGTAATCAGGAAGACACACTGATTAAAACAAATTAAAAAGTCGGGCGAAATAAAAGAGGGAAGCAGGTAATTTACGGAGGAGGGCTCATTCCAGCGGGAGTTGTGGAAGCAAGCTTTCCCATGAGGGGGGACGTATACTCCAATGACAGAACCCTGAGTCAGAGCAATAATGTGGGATTATATACCTATTCATCAAAGGCGCAGCGGAAGAGCCAGGTTTTAAGGTTCTTTTTGAAGACCTCAAGGGAAGGGGCTTTCCTAATTTCTCCAGGCAATGAGTTCCAGAGTGAGGGAGCCACAGCAGAAAAGGCTCTCTCCCTTGTACTCACTAGACGAGCTTGAGAGACTGACAAGGGCGAGAGAAGGGCCTCCCCGGAGGATTGGAGGGCCTGAGATAGTTCATGACGGGAGATACGGTCACAAAGGTAGGCGGGTCCCAAACCGTTTAGGGCTTTGTAGGTGATAACCTGCACCTTGAATTGGGACCGGAAAATAAACGGCAGCCAGTGGAGCTCCTTAAACAGGGGGGTTGACCGCTCTCTGTAGGTTGCCCCAGTTATTAATCTGACTGCCGAACGTTGGACAAGTTGTAGTTTCTGGGTCGTCTTCAAGGGTAGCCCCACGTAGAGAGCATTACAGTAGTCCAGTCTAGAGGTAACTAAGGCATGGACCACCATGGTCAAGTCAGACTTCACGAGGTAAGGTCGCAGTTGGCGCACAAGTTTTAGTTGTGCGAAGGCCCTCCCGGCCACCACCGACACCTGCACATCGAGTGTCAGCGCTGAGTCCAGGAGGACCCCCAAACTGCGGACCTGTGATTTCAGAATAATGCCAAGTTTTTAACTTTGTGGGTTTTTTTTATACATTATAACTGTATTCTCAATTTGCTTCGATGCGATAAATAAATAAATATCGCTATACATCTATCTATTAAGAAATTCTGCATATGCATTGAAGGATGTGTAGTAGCAGGCAGTGTGGCAGGGGAGAGCGCCATGATTAAAGTTCCAGAAACTATAATGGCTCCCCAAACATAACTGGATATTAACCCATGTAAGTTGGTGGTGGGTTTCATAAGCTTCATGTCCCCTGCCACTGGATTCTTTATTGCAGCTATAGTTTCTAATAAAACATTAATATCCATAAATTGCCACTAACTGGGGCATCTTTAGCAATTCCTTATTAGTGTTTCATCAGCATGAGGTTGGTGGCCATTCCTTGAGTTCATCTCCCACTCTCATGTGATGCGCATTTCAGAAATGCTGCAGTGCCAAGGAGAACAAGTCTGGTTTTCAAATGTTGAGATCAGATTTGCAAAATAACAAGTTCCACTATTAAAACAACTTCAGAATAATATTCGCATATACTATCATTTTCGGCAGGATGTTGACTTGTGGCTTTTAGTATGAGACTGGTGTGCATTTTCTTGCTCCTCACTTTGAAATATTAGGACAAAATGATGGACCCAATTTAAAAGCAAAACATGTTTCAATTACACATGATTATGTTTCAATAATCAAGTTATACTAATCATTTTGAGCCAGAAACAAATCTGAAGAATAACCCTGCAGGTATCTCCTCAGGCTTTATGTTGCTAGGCCATCATTTTGTATAAGACTGAGGCTGGATCTACACTGCCATATAAAATCCAGATTATCTGCTTTGAACTTGATTATATGGCAGTGTAGACTCATGTAATCCAGTTCAAAGCAGATAATGTGGATTATCCGCTTTGATAATCTGAATTATGTGGCAGTGTAGATCCAGCCTAAAACTAATGGCTGTTTGTGTGCTGGGAAAGGCATCTAGGGGTAATCATTTGAAACTCTATGCACCACTCTTTCAGCTGCTAAAAGTTTAGTTCATGGGTGGTTCGTGGTTGCAGAAATATAGCCATCTCAAATCGGATCCATTTTTTAAAAACACCAAGTATATCAGTTTTAAACACCCAGTATAACGGTGCTCCTTGCAGTCATGCTGGCCATATGACTTTGGAGGTGTCTATGGACAATGCTGGCTCTTCGGCTTAGAAATAGAGATGAACACCACACCCCAGAGTCGGACACGACTGGACTTCATGTCAGGGGAAAACCTTTACCTTTACCTATATAAATTTCAGTTAATACCGTAGAGGAATCTTGGGGGAAATAATCTGTACTAACCCAGTAATGACTATGAACATTCAGTACATGCCATGCTTGTTGTTGAAGAGCGACAGAGAAAAAACTAGAATGTAGTAACAATGGAATTGCATCTTCTGAAACAAGATATGTTAGCTGTGTAAAGCAGAAAAGAGTATGCCACACTGCAATGTATTGCTGAAAGTGTGTAAGTACATGTAAATACAGATTTAATCATTCTTACATTATATTAACTAAATTGAATTCTAATTATATATTGACTATTTTCCTAACACAATCATTTATATATCTAATCCTGCATGCTCACATGTGCAGATTTGTCATTTATGCATATCCCGTCCATTATGTCCAGCATTCTGTTAGTGATATAGATAGGTACATGTTGCCTTCAAATTGTTTTGCTTTGTTTTTTGGAAAATTGACATTTTTGTATTTAACCGATCACTGGGCATGCAATAGTGTATTGATGGATAGTGTCTGATTATACATTGCGATTAAACATTGCACATTACAGCTGATTTTCAACCATTTGTATTGGCTCATGAGCCACATAAATGGCATTACATTGGTACAGATCAAGTATCCCTTATCTGAAATGCTTGGGACCAGAAGTGTTTCCAGATTTCGGAACACTTATATTTGCATATAAATAAATAATGAAATACCTTGTAGATGGGACCCAAGTCCAAACAAGACATGTGTGTATGTTTACTAAAGCTGGAAGAAGAGATTCTTCTATTGTGGGATCTTGCAAAGTGTGGTAGACATGAGGAAAGCCCTTCTGTTTTTCGTTTCCTGAGAATTTTTTTGCATAACAAGATTTATGAGAGAAGAAATGATCTATACAATCAAAAGCCAATTATCATTTTTATTTTTCACAATATTTTAGTTTCACCGTTTGGATTCCCACCCAAGTGCTCCTTTAGCAAAACAATGACAATAATAATTAATAATAACAACAGCCAGACCAAAAATAAACTCGGCTTCCCTGGAACAACACAACACAGCTTACATTCCACCTCGCAGAAGCTTATTGGGCTATATGTGTAGGCAAGCAGTCCCTCATTCCGACAGTAGAAAATTTGCTGTACAATGCTCCAATATGATACAAGGCTCTTTCCTTAAAAAATAAATGTACAATTCAAGAAGTTCTTGTTAAAAATATATAAATATACATATTCATATACACATCCTCGCGTTAGGACCTGAAACACTCTCTCTCCAGGAGAGAGAAAAAAGAAATATAGACAAAAGCGAGAGACCCTGAAACAAAAAGTCCCTGAACAGAAGCCCATAAAGGCAAACCCACCCCTGCACACACCCACACACACAATTCTTTATTTTAAAAAAAGAGAGAAATGAAGTCAGCAAACACAAAATACGTTTTTTAAATGCCAGAGAATTGTTTCCAGTATCTTGTTCTTTGATATTAAAAATTTGATCACATATTAAAGCTGTTAGAAACATGACTGGGAAAACATTTCTATAAAGAAAAGTGCTTCCCCTCTAACCTGAACATCCTGTGTGGAAGTGGGCTATGGTTAGTCAGTAGTATGGGAAATGCACTCTGGACATGCTCAGAGGCACTCAGTATTATTTCACATTTTCAGGATTGAGCCATGGCACTGAAAACAGATTCCCGCTGCTAGGCCTGAGCCCTGAAGCATGATGCAGGAATTCTTATGTCTCATTACATTGGCATCCATAATCCCTTTAAAGTGCTCCTGGATGTGGGACAACAGGTTCCACAATCCCTAGCTGCAGGATTACAGATGTTGTAGTCTAATGCCTCTGGAGAGCACCTGGTTGGGAAAGGTGGCCATAATACTTGTTAGAGCTCCCTGGGTATAATTAAAAATACATTTTCTATTTGTGATCTGACCGAAGGACAAGTAAGAAAATGTGTGGCAGTCTGTCCTGCAGAAAGTTGGCTAAAACCTATTGGAGATGGCAGTGGAGGGTTCACAAATCCTATTATTCCTTTTCCATGTAATTAATCATATCTCTGATTCTGATCTCACTACTATCAGCATGAATTAAATTCAGTGCTTTTGAAAGTGTGTTCTCAAGATCAATTGCAGCAGGGGTCAAGAACCTCTTAATACTTTTGCAATCACGTGTTTTTTTATACAATTGGAGGGGAGGCTGAAGAGCAGTGAAAGAGCATCCCACTTCCAACATAAAGATTCAGTCCAAGCCTATATTGATCCTGTCCTATTGTAGATTAGCTTTTCCTTTCACTGTTGCTTCAGCTCCCAAAAACTATCTCTTAAGCAGCATTCCAGCCATTAAAAAGGGATTCGTTGGTACAAGGGATAAAGGGAGCAGATGCCAACCTCTGTTTTAAAGGCACTCTGGAGGGTAAGGACCACAACTGTTTTATCATTGTATAACCATTAGCACTGTATTGAGAGCAAGGTAGTCAGCCTTCCATATTCATGGGGGTTAGGGACACAGGACCTCCACAAAAGTGAAAATCACATTTTTTAAAATGGCTAGTTTTTTAAAAACGGAGAAAACACATCTTTAGAGATCTTAAGGCCTTCCAGAATGATTCTATGGTCAACCTCTGGCAGAAATTGACCATACATATTGTCACACTGGTGGATCTAGGAATTCTAAGAACATTTTAATCAAAACTACGAATGTCAAACTCGCAAATGTGGAGGGCCAATTGTATATTCAAACATATCCGCTGAATGCTCGAACAATACTATGGAGAGAAAAAACTTCACAGCTCTAGACTGGTTTTAGTATATAGCCAGCTTCCTGCTCTCTGTATTTTCGAAGGCTTTCGTGGCCCGAATCACTGGGTTGTTGTACGTTTTTTCGGGCTATATGGCCTGCTCTCTCTTTCCATAGCTCTTCAATGCTGCTAGAGCAGAACCTCCAGGACTCGGGAGTGACAATAATCCAGAGATTGGTCCAACAGAAGGGAGTATTAGCTTCTTTTCCCTGCTGCCCCTTCTAAGGCATTTACAAAAATGAATGTATCCAACATCTATTGCTATACAAGACACCCAGACAGTAGCCAGAACCAGAGATAACATTAATCTATATACAGTTTGTACCATTTCAACTGTCACGAGTTCCCATAACAAACCCAGTTGCTTGGGAATTGTTGCTTGGCAAATGTTGAGTATTCTTTATCCCGTATTATGGCAGAGTAGTTCTTTGGGGGACAAAATAATTTTGAGGTTACTTCAAGTTGGCAGAAATGCCCCCATCAGAAACTTCAAGAGATATATAATTTCAATATCCATTTCAAACTTAAATTGTCGGTTGTAAAAATCTCCCCGAACGAATGCTGTCCTATTGGTTTACGCAAGCCCGAAGGATACGAACACAAAAAGCAAACACATTTTCCTATCTCAGTTACCTGAATGAGAATTATTATTCACAGTCTGGGACTGTACCCTGAGAAGACACCTTTAAGAGTCTCCTGGTAATATTCCATATTTTTTAAAAAGTTTCCGCATCCAGCCCAAGATGGAAATATCAATCATATTAACGTCGTAAAAAGAAGAGCTGGAACCGAAAGGCAGAAAATTAACTCTTCTTGACATTTTTGCACATGGCGTCCCTTGTGGTTGGACTGTATTCAAGTCATTGGAAGCTTATTTTTCTGACTCAAACATTTATGATTTCCAAAGATCTTAAATGTGCACGTAGCTTCACACAGAGAGATCTGTGTCATCTCACTGCCTGTCAAGCCTTAATTGTGGCCTCTGCTGCTGTTGCTTATTGGTGGGAAAAGGAAGGGCTGATTGATGTCATAGAGAAGCAGCTGATGTAGACTGAAAATCCTTCTTCAAATGGAGCACACTGCTTTTCTTTCTCTTTAGGAGCTCAGAGCAGTTGGATCTTCATGGCCTGAATTGCCTCCCTCTCCCCATTGATAAGAAGGAGCAACAGCAGCCTTTCTCAAAGCTTGACATTTGCCAAGGATGGGAAGCTTTAGGTCTATGCCTTGTCCAAAAAAAGAACTTGCATGCATGTAAATTCTTAACAACCCCCAACCATGTTCTCTTATGCTCTCAGAGAGGAGGAATGTTGTCTGACCAGAGCTCTACCTCCCGCACAAGCTGCCCTACAAGCAACTCAAAAAAATCCAGTTTTGGTTTGATCATCTCCACAAAATATTGCTCCACAACTCATAGCTATATTCCTCCCAGTCTTAGCGACTCTGTAAAAGGCAAGTCACGAGCAGTTCTACCATGAAGCAAGACAAAGAGGCCGCCTCAGGTTTGAATGCCACAAAATGTGGTGAAATAAGTAGTGGGCTGCAATGTACTGGGAAGTTCTTCCGCAAAAGCCCACCCAAACGTATTGCAGTGCAGCTTCCATTCATTTCCAGCATGGTTGCACAACAGACAGGGCCAGTTCTCTCATTAAGCAAAGGCTACAGATGTAGGGCACAGTTAAAGTGGCAGCAACAGAACTGGGGAAGGTGCTATTTGGATTTTTCATCTATGGTATCAAAATGCCTTGATGCCAGGCTTGGCAACAAAACTTCCCAGCAAATTTATGTCTCACCGTGTTAAATATAGGAAGGCAAAGTGCCATTCAATTTTGTGCCACAGACACCAAAGTGTTTTGGCCTATCCCTGACCACGGTTGAGCATCCCTGCCGTATGGTAACTCCATGATGTTCTTTCCAACCTGGGCCAACCCTAGGAAGAACCCCTGTACATCCAAAAAGTGCTTGAGTATCGCACGGAGTAAACATTCTTTGCTGGCAACGCCCACCTACGGGCTGTGGCCTCATTGGCTGTTTGACTCCAGCTTGTGTGAGAGCTCAAAGAGCAGGTTTTGATTGTCAATAACTTGAAACTGCCGGACATAAGCTTTAGTCTGCAACTGCTGGGGAGATGATTCCATTTCCAAGCCTACAGGGAGAAAGAGAATAGTGTACATCAGAAAGAGACATAAAATGTGCTGCCGCTACACACATACACCACATTTGCTTCTTGGAGAGCAGACAAAACAATTCTAAAGTTTAATTAAATATTGCTTTTTTAATTGATTTTTTTAAAGTACATATAGATCAATTGCTGCTCCCAACATCTCTCAACATGGGTTATGTTGACATGGACTTATGGAAATTAGAACCCAAGAAATTTAGAAGATCACTTCCCCAATGTTAATTTAAAGATATGAGCAAAGAGATGTTGCAGAGCTAAACGATTTCATACTGACTGTAGACAAGGAAATGTTTGAATTTATTATCTACTAGCTTGGGGACCCGGCGCTGCCCAGGTTATTTGAGAAAGCATTGTTTGTTTTGTGAAGTTTGGTAATATCAGTTTGGTAATGTGTAATGCTATTTATTAGAAAAACAAACAGTCTTTCTTTTTTGTTTTTTAATTAATACTCCCATTAAATGCATAAGGCTGTGGGTGAACTACAATTTCCAGAATTGTGGGCCAGTCATTCCCAAACCCTGCCATTACTTAAAGTTAGCCATGTTGGATCTGCATGCCAAGTTTGGTCCAGATCCGACAGCAGCTGAGTTCAGTGATATCTAGGTAAGGGTGAACTACAACTCCCAGATTCCCAGGGCAATCACCCCCAAGCTCAGCCAGAATGCACATTGGCCATGTTGGTTCTGTGTGCCAAGTTTGGTCCCGATCCATCATTGGCTGAGTTCACTGTTCTCTAGATAAGGGTGAACTACAACTCTCAGGGTAATCATCCCTAAACTCTACAAGTATGGACAATTGCTCATGGTGGGTTTGTGTGCCAAGTGAGTTCCAGGTCCATCATTGATTGCAGGTGAACTATGCATCCCAGTCCCTACAACTCCTATAAATCATTGTGAATTCTCTCCAAACCTCTCCAGTATGTTCAGTTGCTGATCAATTCCTCTGCTGTGTGCCAAAAGAAAGGGTTGGAATGAGATAAGGGAGAAGCAGTGGGTGGGGTCATGCAAATGCAGAGAGAAAGGAACACTGGGATGTGCTTGCTATAACCTGCAATGTCCTTCAAGAGAGTGACTTGCTGTTTTCTCAGCACTGGAAACAATAGCCTATTTGTGGAGGCTGGAGGCTGTCAGTGTGAACAGACACCTGTGCCACATACAGATTTTCACTTTTATTATGTGTATAGATAGATTTAAAATAGCTCTCCACTTAGTCCCCATTTACATGCCATTATAACACAGATTGAACTGCATCATGTGATCAATGTAGATTCATTTAATGAAGGCCCCTTCTATTCTGCCATATTTATCAAAGCAGATAATCCACATTATCTGCGTTGAACTGGATTATATGAGTCTACACTGCCATATAATTCAGTTCAAAGCAGATAATCTAGATTTTATATGGCAGTGTAGAAGGAGCCGCAGATTAACTGCACAGAACTGGATAATATGACCATATAAGGGAGTTCAATCTGCATTATAACAGCAATGTAGATGGGACCATACATAAACTTTGTGTCAAGAAGGTGAAAGGCAAGTTCTCTTCTACCCTCTGGAATACTGGTTTTGTATATGTAAAGAGGATTAAATTGAGGCGAGGCAGAGGAGATTATACTAGTTACACAGCTTGCAACATTAGATGAGGCAACCCAACAATCAATACCATGGGTAGAGATACCTGCTTATCTTAGATCTTTGGGACTTTGATCCAAAAACATATTGCTACCTGAGGCACAGTAATACATCATGCCCCACCTCTCAGATAGACTAGTTAGACTGTTTTGGCACCCCAGGCAGAAAATCTCACAGCTCTCTTTCCTCATCCTTTGCAATAAAAATATAGTACTGTAATAACTTGGGCTGACAAACACAATCACAGTTACGAATATGTAACCTAGAGTTACAAATTTAAAACTGATTCATCTTTGCAATCTCTATGTATTCAATAGTTTAACTAATATTAGCTGCAAGCAATGGAGGATTTGTTCTCCTGTCAATTGGGGTTCAGTAGCCCTTCCTCATCAGCAGTCTTCGGTGTGGCAGTCAGAAGCAATTTCTCCTTGCACTGGAGATCATTGTTAGGAGGAGAAATGTCACTCGGCTGTGTCCTGAGCAACAGGAGAATAGATCACAGTTGCTCAGAGCAGCTGCTGCAGCAGGAAGTTAGGCTGAGACAGGAAGAATCACTTAAGTATACTTAACTAATTAGCTAGTCTATAATTTTGGTCATGATAAAGACTAACAACTTGATGTCTTTCTGTAACATTCTAACCTTCTGCCTGACAGGGCTACTTCATCCTGCATGATATAGGAGCATTTCTGGGCTAATTATCCATGCAAACCCAGATTTCGGCCCCTTCTTCACTGCCATATAAAATCCAGATTATATGCTTCGAATTGGATTATATGGCAGTGTAGACTCATATCATCCCGTTCAAAGAAGATAATGTGAATTATCTGATTCAATCATCTAGATTATATAGCAATGTCGAAGTGGCCAAAGTCTATTCTGAAATGCTCTAGTATGGAAAACAATGTTAGATGCACAAGCCTGAGAAAAAAAAATGCATTCATTTTTAAAGGAAAAGCAAGCTTCTAAAATTCAGTGCTGTGAAGACAAACTTCAAAAGATGCAAGTTTCAAAGCCCAATGAATTTTTACAATCTGACCAGTTCCTGGTATCACCTCTTTGCTGGCACTGAATGTTTGCCATATGTATTGGAAACCACCCTGAGTCCCTTTGGAGAGATAGGGCGGTCTATAAATAATGTTTATTATTATTCATGTATTTTAATGCCAATTGTTATCTGTCCCAGCAAGGATATGTTTTTTTCTATATTCCCCCTACAACTCAGCACATGGTGGATAGTAAGTACATATCAGGCAATAGCTGTGAGAACTAATTACTGTATTTTTGTTTCCTTTTGCAGTCTAATACTCACAGAGGGGCCGGCTCCGACACTTTCTGATTGTTCGAACTTTCTCTGCAACCGAGTGCTACAAAAAAGAGAGGAAAGACAGTTTAATTATTATATCTACCAAACCTTAAGAATGTCAATCCACAGAGTCTGCACCCACAGATTCAACCATCCACATATTGAAAATGTGCTTTTAAACAATCCAAAAACCAAATCTTTATTGTGCGAATTGATATTGGAAACAACGTATTGTTATGATATTGTACATAATGGAACATAAGCATCCACAAATTTTGACATCCAAAGGGGAGGGAGGTCTTGGATGCAAAACTCAGGTGCCTTCTACACTGTCATATAATCCTATTATCAAAGCAATCCACATTATCTGCTTTGAACTGGAATATGTGTGTGTACACTGCCATATGTTCCAGTGCAAAGCAAATACAGTTCAAAGCTGCGTGGTGAAGGAAGCTCCCCCCCCCCCCCCGGCTATCTGGCCAAGTGGCGTGAAAACTTTCCCACCATGCAGGGGGCTTCTGGGAAGAAGCCCACTGCAGACTCCATGGCCGGCGGGAGGGTGCCCACTGCCACAACGGGCCTTGCTCAGTAAGTCGGGCAATGCATTTCCTCTCCTCTTCCCCTTCGTCCTTCCCTGCTCGCATACGCTTTCTTTGCCTTCCTCTCCTTCTCCTCTTCCGAAGGAAAGGAAGGAAAGGCCCTTCAAAAATCTGCGAAACAGCGAGTCTGCGAAAAGCAAACCGCGAAGTAACGAGGGAACACTGTAATCTCAATTTTATATGGCAATGTAGACAGGGCCTCAGTGAAATGTATTGGGTTGTGTTATGTATTGTAAGCCACTTGAGTCGCCGTGGGGAAAAAGGTGGGGTAGAAATAAAGTTAACAAATATAATATAAATAATCCTCTTTTTTGTGTTGTCAAAGGCTTTCATGGCCGGAATCATTGGGCTGCTGTGAGTTTTCCAGGCCGTATGGCCATGTTCCTGAAGCATTCTCTCCTGACGTTTTGCCCACATCTATGGCAGGCATCCTCAGAGGTTGTGAGGTCTGTTGGAAACTAGGCAAGTGGGGTTTATATATCTGTGGAATGTCCAGGGTGGGAGAAAGAACTCGTGTCTGTTGGAGGCAGGTGTAAATGTTGCAACTGGCCACCTTTGTTGTTTCCAGCTTTGAACCACTAGAGGGTAGTCTATGCCTCTCTATTTAAACAGCTCAGAAAAACTGTGGCTATTGGTTAGAAACTGCAGAGATTTTATGTTAAACCTCTGTGAAGACATTTCAGGCCACTTTCTCTCCAATCCACTGTTCTCCATCCTGCCAGATTCTGAAAAGTGAATTTGAGAAGGCTGTCACACAGCTTTCCTTATATTCAACTGGCTCTGGCTAAACAAAAAAAGAGGGAGGGAAGACAGATTTGTCATTCTGCTCCATTTCACCCACTAAATTAAGCATGTTTGTTATTATTAAGTAAGAAGCCTCCAGTGATGCAATGGGTTAAATCCTTGTGCTGGCAGGACTGAAGATGGACAAGTTGGAAGTTTGAATCTGGGGAGAGCATGGATGAGCTCCCTCTGTCAGCTCCAGTTCCCCATGCGGAGACACGAGAGAAGCCTCCCACAAGGATGGTAAAACATCAAAACATCTGGGTGTCCCCTGGGCAATGTCCTTGCCAATTCTTTCACACCAGAAGCGACTTGCAGTTTCTCAAATCACTCCTGACACACACAAAAAATTATTAAGTGATTAAAGTGGAACCAATGACAAATAACCATATATAATGGGATTTTTGAGAAAATGTGCATTTCTCCCAACAGGTATAATTTTGGAATGCTCTTTAAATGCTCTTACCTATCCGAACGTATCTCTCCTTATGAACCTGCTTGGACTTTAAGATCGTCTGGGGGGGGAGGGGGAGACCCTGCTCTCGATCCCGCCTTCCTCACAGATATGTTTGGCGGGGACGAGAGACAGGGCCTTCTCAGTGGTGGCCCCTCGGCTATGGAATGCCCTCTCTAGGGATATAAGATCAGCTTCTAACATTCCTCAAAATGGTTAAGACCTGGCTTTTCAAGCAAGTTTTTCCTACTGGAGCATAATTAGACATAAATGAATATATGGAATGATTGACCATGCAATTGGATAACAATTTTAGTAAGGAGACGTCAAGGATTTTGTTTTTACAGACATATTTGCTTTTTATACTACATTTTAAATGCTGAATTGTTTTTATAATTGTTTTAACTGTATTGATATTTGTAATGGCATCTAATTGCTGCTGATTGTGAAACGCCTGAGTTGCCCCCGGCTGAGAAAGTGCGTTATACAAATGCTGTCAATAAATCTATATAAATAAAAATGTAATGTTCGTTTGTGGGATTGACAGAACTCAAAAACCACTGGACGAATTGACACCAAATTTGGACACAAGACACCTAACAACCCAATGTATGTCCTTCACTAAAAAAAAATGATTTTGTCATTTGGGAGTTGTAGTTGCTGGGATTTATAGTTCACCTACAATCAAAGAGCATTCTGAACCCCACTAATGATGGAATTGAACCAAACTTGGCACACAGTTCTCCCATGACCAACAGAAAATATTGGAAGGGTTTGGTGGGCAGTGTCCTTTGGTTTTGGAGTTGTAGTTCACCTACATCCAAAGATGACTGTGGACTCAAAGAATGATGGATCTAGGTTCTTGTGGGTTTTTTCGGGCTATAGGGCCATGTTCTAGAGGCATTTTTCCTGACATTTCGCCTGTATCTATGGCAAGCATCCTCAGAGGTAGTGAGGTGATGATGGATCTGGATCAAACTCTACAAGAATACTCAATATGCCCAAATGTGAACACTGGTGGAGTTTGGGGGGGGGGGGGGAATACAATCTTGACATTTGGGAGTTGTAGTTGCTGGGATTTATAGTTCACCTATAGTCAAAGAACATTCTGAACCCCATCAACGATAGAATTGAGGCAAACTTCCCACATAGAACCCCCGCGTGGCAGGGGACAGCTAGTAAATAAATAAGATTATTTGCAGCTTTTATATGTAGCTCCCTTGCTGTCTGATAATGATATTGTGATAGTGATCTTTCACAGAAGTCCTATCATGTCGTGATATCATGAAAAAAGCCCCCTCAGGATGGCAAAACATCCAGGTGTCCCCTGGGCAACGTCCTTGCAGATGGCCAATTCTCTCACACTAGAAGTGACTTGCAGTTTCTCAAGTCACTCCTGACATGAAAAAAAATATCCTGATATTACAAAAAGCACTTTAAAAAAGCAGATTCAAAGCAAAAACCACATTCAGCACTACTGTCAATTTTGTATCCATATATTTGTTTAGCATGCATTAGATTAGTAATGACAGCACTGGGATTTCTTCCTAGATGACACAAATGCTCAACATACAAATTGCTCTATGTTTCAAGTCGATTTAGAGAAAGAAGGTTGGGAGGGAAAACGAGGGCTGAGCTGACAACGATGCTGCTTCATTTTCCTTCCCCGCCGTTCCCCTTCTCCCCAGGGGTCTTAAAAATCTGGGACAACTCTGGCGCAGATCATGATACCGCACACGCAACACGCGCACGCAGGGACCTCGGCAAGGAGAGTTGGAGGAGCTTCTGCAGAAGCCGTCGCCATGGCAACCCTACTGTCCTACTGGGCTGGAAAGCATGCAGAGGCCCAACTGCTAGTTAATCCCTTGAGGCCCAAGGGGGAGGATGGGGGGCACGGAGCCCACCGTGGGAGATGCTGGGAGACACTGGTTTCCTTCCTCACACCCTCAGAAACCCAGTCTGCATTTGCCTGGTGGGGCTGGATGCGAGGGTTGCTCCCCAGATACATAAAAGGGAGACATAGCAATGATTCTTGCATCTCAGTGTCCTCATAACAGGCTAAACAGAAGGGAGAGGGGGGCAGCCTCCTGCATCAGTTTCTATTCAGGACAGAGATTGGCGGAGTGAGGCCTCTGACCCTGTAGAAACAATAGACTTGTTAAGGTGCCTTTTTGGTCTAATCCTGCAGCAGATCTGAGTTATTGTATGATTTTCTCCAGGAATATTTTAGTCTATGTTTTGTGCATTTTACAGAAAATATGTTTTAACTAGCCGTCCCCTGCCACGTGTTGCTGTGGCCCAGTCTGGTGATCTGGAAAGTAATGAGAAGGTGTTGATTTCTAATATATGTAATGTCTTTATGCTTGTGGATAAACAGTATTTCTTGCTGTTTCTTTGTCAGTGTTGATATAGAGATGGTCTGGTTTGCCCACTCTGGAACATGCAACATATAATTGTCCTTCTTTAGGAGTCCCTTTCAAATCTAAGGTACTATATCTCTCTGTGTGTAAATCATATATCTCTACGTATATCTATGGCTGGATGGCTCTTTGTCAGGAGGGCTTTGATTATGTTTTCTTGCCCTAGTGAAGGGAGTTGGACTGGATGACCTTAAGTATTTTCTATTGGTCATGAGGACTCTGTGTGAGAAGTTTGCCCCAATTCTGTCGTTCGTGGGGTTCAGAATGCTCTTTGATTGTAGGTGAACTATAAATCCCAGCAACTACAACTCCCAAGTGTCAAGGTCTATTCCCCCCAAACTCCATCTGTCTTCATATTTGGGCATATGGAATATTCGTGCCAAGTTTGGTCCAGATCCGTCCTTGTTTGAGTCCACAGTGCTCTCTGGATGTAGGTGAACTACAACTCCCAAATTCAAGGTCAATCCCCACCAAAGCCTTCTAGTGTTTTCTATTGGGCATGGGAGTCCTGTGTACCACATTTGGTTCAATTCCATAATTGGAGTTCAGAATGCTCTTTGATTGAAGGTAAATCCCAGCAACTACAACTCCCAAATGACAAAATCATTTTTTTGAGTGAAGGACATACATTGCGTTGTTAGGTGTCTTGCGTCCAAATTTGGTGTCAATTCATCCAGTGGTTTTTTAGTTCTGTTAATCCCACAAACAAACATTACATTTTTTAATATAGATTCAGGCAGTCTCCAAGTCACAGACAAGGCTCAGTAGGTTTGTTGTTAAGCGGAGTGTGTATGTAAGTCGGGACTGGTACATTTTAAAAATGTAACTCCAAATACATGGGGGTGGAATGAAAATTAATGCCTCCACCTTCGTTACTTGGGTTTGGATGGGAATATTTTAATAAACGCAGAATTAATCCTTGGAATGTGCTCTTTAACTACCACTATTCACTTTCCCACATAATCACCAGACAATTGGATACATTTCTGCCAACAATGAACAAGTTTTCTGAAGATTTCACGGAAGTAGTTGACACTCTGTTTCCGCAACCAGCATCTCACAGTTCTCTCAACGTCTTCATCAAAAGCATAATGATGTCCCCGCAGATCTTCTTTCATTATTGGGAACAGATGGAAGTCAGACAGTGCTAAGTTTGGACTGTATGGAGGATGTCGTATGTTGGTGAGATCCAGTCTCTGAAGTTTCAAGTCTGTGCGCTTTCATTTCAGGCGTCAGCATTTTGGGTACCTATCATGCACAGATCTTCCGATAGCCAAGCAAAGCAATAATGTGACCCACACATTCTTACGAAATGCTGATTATGCTTGAAATTTCTGAGTGATATGTTGATTGTCCTGAATCAATCTGTCAACGTTTTGATTGTGAAACTTGGTGGTTGCTGTCACAGGACGTCCAACTCTTTGCTTGTCATGCAAGTCAGATATTCCCACCTCAATGTCTTTAAACTTACTTGCACAGTACTCACATCAACACAATCACCATAAACAGCTTGCATTCTCTGATTATTCTCCTTTGGGGTGACACCTTCTGCTGTCAAGAATTCAATGACTGCACGTTGCTTAAGTCACATTTATCGACCGTCTGCACAGGGTTCCATACTTCACACTTTAACAACACAACTGTTAAATGTGAAGGCTTCTCGCCAAAATGGAACTGCAGAGGAGAGTCTACTATACAAGCCAGTACCTGCCGCATACTAGTACTGCCATCTGTTGAGGAGTTACGAAGGTGGAGGCATTACTTTTCATCAACCCTCGTATATCGCTTTGGATCACATAGGGAAGGGTTAACACCCCTGCGGGGTTTGATTTAACCCTGTTCAGAAGATTTCACTCCACTTTCTGTCCCTTGTCTGGGATAAAGCTTCCGTTGAGACACCATTTCCCCATTATAATTCTTTTCAGGAATGAATTTCTCTTCCTTGCAGTAGATTTCTCTCAGTTCCTGTGAGAGCCCCCATGGTGCAATGGGTTAAATCCTTGAGCTGGCAGGACTGAAGACCGACAGATCACAGGTTCGAATCCTGGGATAGCGTGGATGAGCTCCCTCTGTCAGCTCCAGTTCCCCATGTGGGGACATGAGAGAAGCCTCCTACAAGGATGGTAAAACATCAAAACATCTGGGCGTCCCCTGGGCAACGTCCTTGCAGACAGTCAATTCTCTCACACCAGATGTGACTTGCAGTTTCTCAGGTCACTCCTGACAACTTCCTGTTGTCTCATCCCCATTCTAAATTAGGAGTTGTTTGTAACTCGGATGTTTGTAACTCAGGGACTGCTTGTATGTTTTTTACTGATTGTTTTTATGATGATGTGTTTTTAACTGCATCGTGCCTCGCTGTGAAGACAGGCGGGTAAGAATCTATTTATTTATTTTGTCATGTCAGGAGCGACTTGAGAGATTGCAAGTCGCTTCTGGTGTGAGAGAATTGGTAAGAACGAATACTATTAATATAGCTATTCCCACAATGCTACAGATTTAGCCAACTCCCGCAATCCCCACACAGCTCCTATCAAGCTTTTAAGAAACAACTTTGGAAAGTTCTCTCCTTCCTAGAGTTCCCAGATCTTGGGACCCACTTCTCTGGTTCTTAGGACAAAGGGTGAAAAATCTCTGAGCGAGCGTGCTGTTTTGAAAAGTATTTTGTGAAAATCTGTATGTATATCTTTTTGGTGTGAATGGCATTCTACATGCAACTGAGTCCCACCCATGGGAGAAAAGTGGGATAATGATAATGATGATGATGATGATGATAGAATGATATCACTCTATAACAAAATTTGAATAATTTTCTGTTCTTGATTTTAAAGTGTTCTTTCCTGTTTAATTGTATGGTACTTACTTTGAAAGTGGTTATTATACTCCAGAAATGTCATTTTTGTGGCTGCCACAAACTACGTTGAATTGGTTGGGTCTCAATGAGATATTCATTGAAAAAAACTATAGCAAAATGGGCTGCAGAATGTCCCTCCAAATCAAAGGTTTTTTTTGCAGTACAATAAACCTTTTCCATGTTTTTATGATCGAACCAATTCGGAAATGACAATGTATAGCCCAGGAACAAACACTGTGTTACATAGTATATTTATTATTTATGCTTAACTAGCCGACCTCTGCCATACGTTGCTGTGGCCCAGTCTGTGCATATCTGTTTTGTGGGTGTATATGTGTTTTATGCACATACATTTGTGTGTATGTGCATATATGTGTGTTTGCGTATATACATGTGGGTGTATAGATGTGTGTGCATGTATATGTGTGTATATATTTGTGTGTTTAGATGTGTATCTGTATATTGTGTATATGTGTGTGCTTGTGTATATGCATATATGTGTATATGTATATGTGTGTTAATATGTATAATTCTGTGCATGTGTACAGGTATATATGTGTGCATGTATATGTGTATATTTGTGTGTCCTTGTGTATATATGTGTGTGTATGTATGTTGTCATGTGTATGTGTATATGAGCGTATGTCCATATGTATACAGGATGTATTTTTGAGGGTTGTAAGTCCATTCCACTGTGTTTTGTGTATGTGTGTGTTTTTAGGAGTGATAGACCCTTGTTGGCCTAATAGGTGTATTGTATCCAAATTTGGTGTCAATTCGCCCAGTGGTTTTTGAGTTATGTTAATCCCACAAACGAACATTACATTTTTATTTATATAGATGATATTATTCCCTCAAGACATTGTCCCAAAATCTCAGATTTTTACCCTGAAATCTCAGGGCCCAGAATAGTCCTGGCCTTGCAGCCCTTTTCATATCATGTTTACAGCGTCAGAGCTTTCATTAGATGGAGTAGGGTGGCTGCATTTCAGGCAGCAGAGGATGGGAGTGGAGACAAGCAGTGCAGTGATACAAGACAAAGCCATGCATGTCTCACAAACTGCCTGCATCCCTAGGCCAGCATCCTTCCCTTAAGAATGGATGATATATTTTACTTCAGTACAAGGAATGGAACAGTCTTTCAGCTGAAGGAAAAGGCATATCATATTGTCCACTGCCTTGAGCAGCAAACGTGTCAAGCCAGCCTGCGTGTTTTCGTTGGTCGGTGCCAAACAAGAGTGTACAAACAGTACTGACCTCTTTAACCAGCAGACTGTAGAGCCACTGGACAAGCCAGGCCTGCCCTAAATAAGAAGAGCCTAGCCTTCTGCCTTTTTTCCTGACCATGAGAGAAAATATCTTCCACATGCTGCACTTCAGGCCCCAGGCCAAGCTATTGTTCTTAGCAATTGGGATGAAATACGATACAAGTCCAGATCCCCAATTTCCCCTATTTACAAGAGGCAACCCCTGCTGGCAGTGTGGAAGGGAGACCAACCTATTGTTGGTACAACTCGTGCTATATTCTCTCACTTTTGGGTTGGAGAGGGAGGAATTTTAGAGAAACCTTTTAAAAATGTTGGACTGTAAAATTGCATGAGCAGGTGCAAATTATATTCCATGTGTCAAACACACAGACCAAATGTACATATGGCTTGTGGGGGAAATGCCACAGTCAAGGGCTGACCATATATGGGTCAGGATGTGGTCAATCCTGCTATATGTTATGCTATAGACATATTCAGACCATTTAAATATAGCACAATTATTCCTGCTCAAGATCTTCATCATGGAGGCAAAGGGATATAAGCAAGATAGGTAACCACATTTTACAGAACATCTCATCTTTGTTTGCCTTCAACTTTTCTATCCCTCGGATCTAAGCAAAATGGCGGAGCTGTTGCCAATAATGTAGGGCCATGCTTCTCGGGCTATCCAACGTGTGGGACCATTTTTCCCAAGGTTGGACACCATATTTTTACCCTACTGGCTACAACAGTTTCTTTCCTTTAGACCAGGGGTCCTCAAACTTTTTAAACAGAGGGCCAGGTTACAGTCCCTCAAACTGTTGGAGGGCCGGATTATAATTTTTTTTTTAAAAAAAAGAATTCCTATACACACTGCACATATCTTATTTGTAGTGCAAACAACACTTAAAACAATACAGTAATTAAAATGAAGAACAATTTTAACAAATATAAACTTATTAGTATTATTAATTAATTAATTAATTAATAATTCATATTTCAATGGGAAGTCTGGGCCTGGTTTTGCCTGATGAGATAGGATTGTTGTAGTTGTTGTGTGCTTTCAAGTCGTTACAGACTTAGGTTGACCCTGAGTGAGGGCTGGGTAAATGACTTTGGAGGGCCGTATTCGGCCTGCGGGCCTTAGTTTGAGGACCCCTGCTTTAGACTGTAACCTTAATTTTGTAGCATGATCATTCCTATTGTACAGACTGAGAAAGTAAGAATATTATTCTTTCTATGTACTACAATACATGCTAGGATAAAGGAAGAAGGATGGGATAGTAGTGGTATGTTCTTACCAGCTTCTCTACATTGACCAGTCCATCCACCAAGGTTTTGCTAGCTTCATGCAGGAACGTCAAATCTGAGAGAGTTAGAGGGAAGGAAGAAGAGAGGAAAGTGAGCCAAGAAAGAGGTAGACTGGAAGGAATGGTGGATTCTAATTTTCATAGCGTGCAGATCTTAAGCCCCTTTGCCTTCTTCCCAGTCGCTGAGGCTAGACTTTCATAATCAAATGATGGTATGAAACAAGGCATTCTGAACATGCTCAGAGACATTTTTTATTATTGCTAATACTAGTTAAACATCTGTCTTCAAAGATGGGATTATATTCATATTTAAGAAAGGCTTCCATATTGCAATGGCAATGGGTTTGATGAAGTGAACAAGTAATCTCAAATAGTAAGAGGACTATACAACAGTATTGAGGCTTACTTTGTTTTCTTCACAACAACGTCCTTGATTTATCTTCCATACAAGAGTAAATGCAAAACATTATTATATATAAGAAAAAATAAAAGATGTATTGCATATGGATCATATCTATTTCTTAATTCCCAATCACTGATAATCAAGCTTACAGCCCTTAATCTACAGAAGGGTTCATTATTATTATTATTATTATTACTATTACTACTACTACTACTACTACTACTACTATTTAAAATAATTTTTATTAAGAATTTTTGAACATACAAGGATAAAAAAACCTCCACCTATACCGGTGAAGGAGGGGATAAAGGGGGTAAGATCATAGGGGTATGTGCTGGGGGGGGGGCGTTGTGGGGGGCATGGGGGATTAAAGGGGGAGGGGAAGGGGAGGAGTGGGAGGGGAGGGCAAAGGAGAGGGGGAATTTCTTCCAATCCTCTTCGCAAAGGGTTTAACTATATCATATTGTCTTTATCTTTCTCAGATTTAATCTTCTCCTTTCTAGCTGTGGTGATTTTTTTGTATGTAGTTAAAGTTTGTTTAACTTTTCCCTTTTTCTTTTCCTCTTTTAAATTAGTAATTTCACTTTGTTTTCTTTAATCCAGGCCATCAGCGGGGACCAATCCATCATCTTCATATGCTTATTCTGTGCTTTCATAATTAGATATATCAATTTGTTACAGAAGGGCTTTTTTTAGTTCTGAGGTCGAGGTGGATACCTGGACTAAAGTGTAACAGAAAGGCTGATGGAGGATGCCTGGACTAAAGTGTAACAGAAAACCGGAGATTAACTTTTATTCTACCTTTTTCAGATATCTCCTGTCCAAAATTCAATCCATACTAATATAAGCAAGGCATTTTTCTAAAAATCCTTGTTCCAGAAGAGCAATGAGCAGTTGTCACTCACCTTTTAAGATTAGGGGCACAAAAGGAATTATTGGAGGCTTCATCCTAGAGAGAACTTCTCGGTAGCTTTTATGATTCCGACAAGGGTCCTGCCATGTGAAAGGAAGAAAAGGACTACAGTTTCTGGTTTTCAGAATAACAGAGAACTAGCTGTTCCCAAAGTACAATGGAGGCTATAACGCTGTACAAATAATTCTTGAACAAGGCCAGGTTTATAAAATGTGTATTTCATAATATCTGTGATTAACACCTGATAAATCTGTTGTTCCAGGCCTTTCCTATTCTCACTGTTCTGTTATTTGTGACTTGTAACCTTCAGGGATGCACATCTTTCTAATTAGTTAAATAATCAGGTTGGCAAAAGTGGTTATGGGAAATGATGATGAGAACAACAACAAATCCATGCCACCAGCAAATATTTTCATACAAGCCAGTCTCTAGAGGATTTTGTAGAGGATTTGGGGCAGTATTCTAGGTCAGCAACACACAATGTCCAACAGACTAGGGGGCAATGTTTTACCCAGAAGGCACATCAGGCCCCAAACTGCAAGAAAAACCCAGGGATGGGGGCTGCTCCATAAGACTGGAGGTCCACTTCCATTATAATTTTTGGACTTTCAGGAAGCTTGAAAGGCTCTGCATCGAATTTTTAAACAAAACAATCGTTCAAGGGGTTGGATAACTTAAGAGGAGAAATTAAGGCCAGAGATAAAGTTGTCTTATTCATAGCTCAACAGATATTTAAACTGTGAAATTTCCACAAGTCACGTTCCAAAGCAACACTCAAAAACAGCCTTTTTCAAGGAGACCTCTGAATGACTTACCGTTAGATTCTCAAATTTCCGGAACAAGTTCTTAAATTTCCCTGGAAGTTTCTAGAAAAAGACAAACATTTCAGAGAAAGACCCATTATTTCCATTTTGGATCTATCTAACACCTAAATAAAACCCAGTACAACTTATTCAGTCTGGACATTCCTATATGATTTAAGTGGGTTATTATTTATAGACAGAAGGCTCCCAACTGCCCTCTGTGAAAAATACAGGTGTATATTTTAAAGTTTTTCCAGCGCATAATTTGGACCATAATTATAGCGCTATGGTTCCATTTTAATGTTCTATCATGTTATCTGATAGAATTCTGGGGTTTGTAGTTTGGTGAACTCTCTCTCGCTGAGAAGTCCAAATGCCTCTCCCTAAACAGCAAATTTCAGATGTCATTGGATGCTGCTACAGTAGCTGCGGTAGAATCATAATGTTGTAATAACATACTGTCAGACAACCCTAGATATGGCTGCCTGGGGCTCCAGCAGATTAAGGCAGTAAGATTGAAGGCTTTAGAATGTGTACTGTACACCTCCGTGTATTTATCAATATAGCCAGTTTAACAACAGTGAGCTCCACATGTAATGGAAGAGCCTGACATCCTTGTACATGTTGGGATTGATGAACCAACTGAGCAAATTGCACAAACAGGATTTGTTTCCTCCTGTGAGTCACCCTAGATGGTAGTGTTTAACTAGTCCCAATGTGCAGCATCTTGGAAGCGGGATTGCTTATGCAACGACTCACCTGAGAACAGGCACTGCCCTCAACGCTCAAAGGTGTGGCAGGTTCATTTCAGAAAAAAGAAACACCAAGATGGTTTCATTCTAGGATGTACTTTGAGCTATTGTGACATTTAATTTTCTTTAACCTTTTCCACACTTCCTTTATACTTTAGGAACTAGCAAATGTAGTTTATGAAAGTTTTAAAGTACTTTAAAAGTGTAGTCCATTAAAAAATATGACTATAATTCAGAAGAACATAATAATTGCCTTTTTGGATCCCCTAAATCCAATACTACTGTTCTAATATCAGCCAGATGCCCCTAGTGATGGTGTACAAGTGATGGGCATCCCTGTAGTTTGTTCTCACAGATTTAGTCAGTATTCAAAATCTACTAAAGATGTGAAGGCCACAAACTGAGTTACATTTATTCAAGATGAAATAATGTAAAATTCTTCTGCACCTTCAATGTGACTCCAACTTATAATGAACCTATCTTAGATCCCCTAAATCCAATACTACTGTTCTAATATCAGCCAGATGCCCCTAGTGATGGTGTACAAGTGATGGACATCCCTGTAGTTTGTTCTCACAGATTTAGTCAGTATTCCACTAACTGGACCAATAGTCATACTGTATGTAGAAGTTCACTAATTTAAGGATTATGACTATTGGTCCAGTTAGTGGAGCAAGAACTCTAGTCATACCCCCAATAAGTATGAGGGAGAGAGTGCATGAAGGGTCTGCTTGTGGAAAACAGTCCAAATTTGTGGCACCACTATGGAAAAAACGATCTTAATACTAATCAAAAGCAGATCCTAAGTAGAATATCTTCAACATATGGTATTGCATATAGTCTCAAAGAATTGTTAGGTCAAAAACTTCTAAAGATGTGAAGGCCACAAACTGAGTTACATTTATTCAAGATGAAATAATGTAAACTTCTTCTGCGCCCTCAATGTGACTCCAACTTATAATGAACCTCTCTTAGGGTTCTATTGGCAAGATTCATTCAGTGGAGGTTTGCCATAACCACATTCTGAGTACGAGAGAGAATGCGAGTTAACCAACATCACCCAGGAGATCTCCATAATTGAGGGGATTTGAACCCTGGTCTCCAAGAATCTAAACCCAACACTAAAACCACCAGCACCACACTAACAAAGAGACAAAATGGGGCTGAAATAGGAGCAACTAGCAACATATGTCCAGAAGCGAAGTGTCTGCCAGTGCTTTTCTCAAGTGACATATGATTTAGGTTGCGAAGAGATACAAGAAAAGAAGTATCTTTAATATGTTGGCCTCTCATCGCCAAGACCCAACTAGTTTTAAGATGAAACACAGCCAACACAATGCATCAAGGAAAATGTACAGCACCACACCCTGCCATGTGTCCACCACTGGGATCATCATTCAGGAGACAATCCTGTTGCTTTTAGAAGCCCGAATGCTCCTTGTTTATCTCCCTGCACAATGGTGACCCAGTTTGATGGTAGAGATTTTGTGAAATTATAGGGAGGAGTACAACGAATGCGGGGGGGGGGGGGGCTGACAAAATACATGTATCCAGAATTCCTGATAAACAAGAAATATGGCTATTGCATAAGAACTAAAAGTACAGAGTGAGAGGGAAGGAGTGTGGGTGGATATAAGGGGACGGGAGACAGAGAGAAAAAGATTGAACAAGTATGTGCAGATATATTTGTTTATATGCCAAAGAAAAATGTGTCAACAAGTTCTGGAAAACTAAATCCTACGCATACACTAATATCAAAGCTGTCAGACTATTACATATCCTTACTTGATATTATTTACAATGGATTCTATGTGTACTTTTTATTGCATAGAAAGGGTTTTTTGAACAAAAAACAAATTTGCACAAATACATTTTTCACAGAAAAAAATCAAGAAGTGTAAAAAAATCTATGATGGTTTCAAATATGAATTGGTTTTATATGTTCTTTTAACTGGTGTCTAATCTATTGTTGTTTCTTGCTTCATAGAAAAAATACATGTTACACCATGTACAAAATTTGCATATATCACAAAAGTATTAACTTTCACGCAGAAAACCCTATTCACTGCACAGAAAATAACCATTTCTGTGCAAAATGCAAATTTTGCTGAGAAAGTCCCCAACTGTAAGATTTTTTAACACAATTAACAAAACGTTTTCTGCACAGAAATATTTTCAGTCCAAATTTTTTTTACTATGCAGAATATGCCATTTTCTCTGCAAAAATACCATGTGTGAATTTTGCACAGAAGACATCTTGAACTGCAAAATTGAGGTCTTCAAATATTTTTTTTTTTTGCAGTGGGAAGAAAATTGCAAAATTACTTTGAAAAGTAAACTGGCTAACAATTTCCCTGTACTGTATATATCAAAAATACTTATCCCCTCCCTGTCGGTGTAAATGAAAGAACTAACATTCTGCTGCTCTTTCACAACAGGGCAACTTTTATGGAAGTGCTACCTCATTCTGCCTAATCGTCAGCTAAGGAAAAGGATAAGAATGTTTCAAATATTTAGATATGTTTTTAATTTCTGTAGTCCCTATTTGCTGCCTGGCTTTTCCCCTTTATAACTAGAAAACAAATAGGTGGACTCAATTAAAAAAAATGGAAAGAAAGGTATATGTCATGGTTTGAAACCTGACAATAAGACACTTCAGTTTTCAGTCTTAAAAAAGAGCTAAAAAGTAATCTGAAATATCCCGACACTTCTCTCAGCTAATTCTGTATTCTTTTAATACATCTTATTATGGGTTGGTCTCAACTTCCTATATTTTAAAGCTGCGGGGAGAGGTATTTCTAGTTTTAAAAGGTGTAAAGATGAACCTAGGAAGATCCTCGCACCCTTCTCTACCACATTTATCCTCTACCAGTGTTTGCCTTTTATACCCAAATCATAAAAAACAAAACTGAAAGCTTGAACATGGGGAAAAACACAACTCAAAATTCAACCTGCTGTCATCAATGTAACAGTCTTACACACTGTTATTTTAAAAGAATTTTTGATGTCTTATGCCTTCAAGTAATTGCTGACTTGCGTTGACCCTAAGGCACAGGATTTAAAAGCTAAGTGTTTGTTACTTGCCCGAAATCACCCTGTGAGTATTCCTGACCAGGGTCAAGAACCAATGGGTTCAACTAGAGGTTTGTCTTGGTGCTCCTTTGGATTTAGGATCTTCAGGAGAGACACTGCCTTGGATTTCATAATAGAATGAGAGGCGATAAGGAACTGAGCATTTTTGTGGTGGTTCTGGAAGTCCTTGCTTAAAGAAGCTGGTCTAGCAGGTTCTTGAGAGTGGCAGTTGGGATGTCTTGCGGTTTACCTGGCTTGTTTTTACTAAACTAGTTTTGCTTTTTTTCCCTTGCATTATTTTGAATATGCTTCTTGCATTTGCTATCTGCCCACATGGCTCATTGTTAGACAGCTTGGCAAGGTATGGTTTTGAAAACAAATACTTGCATTTGTAAATTCTGGGAGGACTGTATTTGCTGGGAGGCAGTCCAGAGCTTGGAAAATTATTTTTTGAATAAGAACTCTCCAATTACTCTGACAACAGGACTATTGGCATGTTGACTGGGGGGATTCTGTGGGCTATAGTCCAAAAGGAACTTTATAAACTCTGGCAGAGACTACACACACAATACTCTTACAGACATAGATAGAGCAACAATTCACATTCCTCCCACCTTCATAGTCTTACCTCCCAGGTGAGACGTAAACGGCTGACAGGTGCATTGTTCAGCCCTATGACCACAGCATAGAATGTTAACATGTCCTGGTTCTGTTTACATCTGTGAGGAGACAAGAAGGGAGTGTAGTTATTAACTAAGACAGAAAACAAGATCAAGTTTGAGACATCTCCACCAATGTCACCACTCTCAGACTTCACATAAAGGCTGACGCTTTTTTTGCCTAACAGAGGGTCCTGTATGTTTCAACAGCTGCATGGAAGACAGAAATCATGAAATACAAGTTTTTTATCAATACAGGAATGCAGTGATATGGGGAGGTGGATGGGGCCATCACTGAAATGTACTTTGAAACACAAAACTCACTTGCAAAAGAAACAGCCTTACTCTGTCCTCATTCTTCGTTCCTGTCTCCAGTGCATGGCCAATGAATGCAGACTGCATCCAAGGTCTGGCAAATGGCTAGCCTGTGAGTGCCTATTTTTGGCTTCCTGCTACCAATGCAGATGTGGGTAATGAATGATTTGCTAGTAGCTAATTTTATCAGGCAGAGTAAGGCCCCTATCATTCAGGGAAATCAGTTACTAACCCATCTGACAGTTTTGTCTACATTCAGCTGATAGCACCCAAGATCCCTGGTTTGCTTCAACACGCCTGTACCTTGAGAAGTCTGACTTGGCCACGGTAGCCCATGCTCTGGTTACATCCCATTTAGACTACTGCAACACTCTCTATGTGGGGTTGCCTTTGAAGACTGTTCGAAAGCTTCAAATGGTGCAACGGGAGGCAGCCAGGTTGTTAACAGGAGCGGTGCTCAAGGAGCACACAACTCCTCTGCTGCGCCAGCTCCACTGGCTGCCAGTCTGCTACCGAGCACAAGTCAAAGTGCTGGCTTTAGCCTATAAAGCCCTAAATGGTTCTGGCCCAGCTTACCTGTCCAAACGTCTCTCTCCTTATCAGGCCCGTAGCCAGGATTTCAATTCGGGGGGGGGGGGGGGGGGGGGTTTGTGTGGGGGGGGGGGCTGAGACTGAGTGAAAGAGGGTCTACCCTAGCAAACCTTTTGTATCGTTACCCCAATACCCCCATGCATATGGGATATATTGAGTATGGTGATCAGATCATGATATGAATAAACATAACAGTTTAAATAATGCACCAGTAAGGCTTTTCGCGAACCATCATGAGAATTTCAGGGGGGGCTGCCCCTCAAGCTCCCCCCCCCCCCCCCCCGGCTACATGCCTGCTCCTTATGAACCATCTAGGACCCTAAGATCATCTGAGGAGGCCCTACTGCCGATCCCACCTTCTTCACAGATTTGGTTGGCGGGAACGAGGGACAGGGCCTTCTCAGTGGTGGCCCCTCGACTATGGAACACCCTCCCTAGGGATATCGGATTAGCCTCCACTCTCCTAACATTTCGCAAAAAAAGTTAAACCTGGCTTTTTGAGCAAGCATTCTCAAATGCAGTGTAGCAGACAAACTCTGATCTACGGAACGACTGGACAATGCGATTGGATACTGATTTTAGTAATGAGACATGGAGGATTTATGTTTTTATTGGTTTTTACTATTTTATCTGATGTTATTTTTGCTAAACGTTCTAATTGTTTTTATGTTATTGGGGGCATAAAATTGTGCCGTTTGTAAACCGCCCTGTGTCGCCCTCGGGTTGAGAAAGGTGGTAGATAAATATGGTAAATAAATAAGCAATAGCAGTGTCTGAAATACGAAGTGAAAAGTAGGGGCAACCTTAAATAAATCCACAAGTTTTGGCCCCTGAATCATCTCCAATTTTATGGGCTATCTATGCCACTAAGGAGCCTCTCCTGGCCATAATCCCAGCACATATAATTAGTAGTGTTTACAATCTACTCCAACCTGCTTCCAAGTGCATGTCACAGCTCTGCTGTTTCACTTCCCACTCCATCCCCCAAGCCTTTCTGCTGCAGCTCCATAAACACTCAGTATGTAAGAAACAATCCCAAGAAAGGAAACCCAAACAGAAGGCAGCTACAGTGGGTAATTCAAGTCAAGGCTATAACATCAGTAGTCATTAACGCTGAGGGAGTCACAGGAGAAGGAGGAGAAAGGAATTGGGTTGAATATGCAGGGAAAAGGTAGAGAAGAATTTCCAGTGGCGCAAAGTAAGAAACATAGATAAGAAGAAGAAAAAACCCACAATTTCTTTATAGAAGGGACATTTGGCAAATATAAACTTTGGTCCATCTCAAAATAACAGCTTTCTTCTTTTGAAAAAGCATATGTTTTGGGAAAAATGCATAAAACAAATATCCTGAAAGCTGATTACATGGCATCTGTAACCACCCAGCACAGTGGCTGCCTATAGCTGCGTGGGCACTAGTAACGGCATAATGTGTTTGCAGAGCATTTCAAATAGGCCAACGATCTTGCACTGAAAAGCAGTTAGAAGTAAAATCTTCAGCTATAATGTTACAAAAAGATATTAAGGAATCCTGTAGCGCCCTTTGAGACGGAGAATCTATTATTACTCCCACCCTCCTCCGAGCGTAATTAGATTCCACCTCCTGCTCATTCGGATAAATGGTGCCCCGAGGCAGTACGATACACCTTTGGGTATACACCATAAACGCATGCATGTATAAGAGTATTACGTCCTTATGAAAATAAAAATTCATCCACACACTCAAATCTGCATTCTTTTGCAGAGAGAATTTATCTATATATATAAAAATGTAATGTTCTTTTGTGGGATTAACATAACTCAAAAACCACTGGATGAATTGTCGCCAAATTTGGCCACAAGACACCTACTAACCCAAGGAATGACCATTACTCATTTTTTTTGTCATTTGGGAGTTGTAGTTGCTGGGATTTATAGTTAACCTACAATCAAAGAGCATTCTGAACTCCACCAATGATGGAATTGAACTAAACGTGGCACACAGACTCCTATGACCAACAGAAAACACTAGAAGGGTTTGTTGGGCATTGACCTTGAGTTTGGGAGTTGTAGTTCACCTATCCAGAGAGCATTGTGGACTCAAACAATGATGGATCTGGACCAAACTTGGCACGAATATTCCATATGCCCAAATATGAATACAAATGGAGTTTGGAGGAAATAGATCTTGACATTTGGGAGTTGTAGTTACTGGGATATACAATCAAAGAGCATTCTGAACCCCACCCATGATAGAATGGGGCCAAACTTCTCACACAGGTGAACTATAAATCCCAGCAACCACAACTCTCAAATGTCAAGGTCTGTTTTCACCAAACGCCACCAGTGTTCACATTTGGGCATATTGAGTATCTGTGCTAAATTTGATCCAGATCCATCATTGCTTGAATCCACATTGCTCTCTGGATGTAGGTGAACTACAGCTCCAAAACTCAAGGTCAATGCTGACCAAACCCTTCTAGTATTTTCTGTTGGTCGTGGGAGTTCTGTGTGCCAAGTTTAGTTCCAATTCAATTGTTGGTGGAGTTCAGAATGCTCTTTGATTGTAGGTTAACTATACATCCCAGCAGCTACAACTCCCAAATGACAAACTCAATCCCCCACCTCAACCCCACCAGTATTCATATAGGGGCATATCAGGTATTTCTTCTAAATTTGGTATAGTAAATGAAAATGCATCCTGCATATCAGATATTTACATGATGATTCCTTACAGTAGCAAAATGACAGTTATGAAGTAGCAACGAAAATAATGTATTGTAGAAGACTTTCATGGCCGGAATTACTGGGTTGTTGTAGGTTTTTTCGGGCTGTTTGGCCATGGTCTAGAGGCATTCTCTCCTGACGTTTCGCCTGCATCTATGGCAAGCATCCTCAGAGGTAGAATGCCTCATTACCTCTGAAGATGCTTGCCATAGATGCAGGCGAAATGTCAGGAGAGAATGCCTCTAGACCATGGCCATACAGCCCGAAAAAAACTACAACAACCCAATGAAAATAATTTTATGGTTGGGGGTTACTCCAACATTAGGAACGGTATTAAGGGGTCACGGCATTAGGAAAGCTGAGAACCACTGACCTATATCCTTTAGAATTCCTTGTTTTCTTAGTCAATATGAAGAAGCTCATTATAACTACCATGCCACTAAATGCATGCAAGAACAAAAGCTTTGCCCATTCAGGTATCTGTAGCATTTTTCCTTTACACTTATTCTAAGCAAACCCATGGAAATGTCTTTAGTCTATATAATTCCAAGAAAGAAAACTACCCAGCACTTACTTGAAACAAGCTGACTGGTTAATCTATGCTTGCACAATCAGTTTTAAGTTGCTTCCAGGATATAGCCCATTATTATTGTTGACACTGCGTTTCTGCAGTCAGCTAGAAGCAACATTAGAACAGCATTCCTTCCTACATAATAAAGCTCATTCTTGTGGTCAAGATCCTTTGTCGTGCTTGCTGAGAATGCCTATTCAGCAAAGTTAACCTGCCACTTTAATTCAAAGCTTCCCTTTCGCATTTTCTGTATCTAACTACTTCTAAAATAGTTAGAAGTAGTTAGATACCATATAGTTAGAAGTAGTTAGATACCGTTCACCATGCATAGTCTGGCTACCTTTCCTTCTTCCAATTTACTGTATATGCTTGAGTATATGCCTAGTTTTTCAGCCCTTTTTTTAGGCTAAAAAAGTCCCCCTTGGCTTATACTCAAGTCAAGATTATTTATTATTTTACTTTATTATTATTATTATTATTATTTATTATTATTATTATTATTATTTCATTTATTATTTTATTCTATTTATTATTATTACATTTATCACATCAGTGAAAATTACAGAATAAATTATATAAAAGAAGAGAAACTACAAATGTCTGAACTAAGTTCACATGGTTAGAGCAGAGATGCATCTGTAAGTAACACCCATGGCCAAGTTGTCATGGGGTTTGTGCTAATCCACAGGAGAAACAGACTATGATATGCAACACTTACACTGCTGCAATCTTGATGAACTTCTTGAGCAGGTGAGCCCTCTTCCCCAGTGATTCGCAGAGCAACACCTCGGTGGCCACCCAGTGCTGAACCTCACTGCAACGCTGTAGCAGCAACTCCAGGTTGGCGGTCTCTCGTCGCCCTCGTTCTCCATGGAACACATAGTCCACAAATTCCAACTACAACCGAGGACAGAAGAGAGAAAGTCGGTAGCTAGAGCAGGGGTCCTCAAACTAAGGCCCAAGGGCCAGATACGGCCCTCCACGGTCATTTGCCCGGCCCTCACTCAGGGTCAACCTAAGTCTGAAATGACTTGAAAGCACACAACAACAACAACAATCCTATCTAATCAGCCAAAAACAGGCCCACACTTCACACTGAAATACTAATAAGTTTATATTTGTTAAAATTGTTCTTCATTTTAATTATTGTATTGTTTTTAGTGTTTTTTGCACTACAAATAAGATATGTGCAGTGTGCATAGGAATTCATTCCCATTTTTTTTACAAATTATAATCTGGCCCTCCAACAATTTGAGGGACTGTGACCTGGCCCTCTGTTTAAAAAGTTTGAGGACCCCTGAGCTAGAGTATTCTCCTCATGGCAGGTCTGAAGATAAGAGATTCCCCTCCTTACCCTACAATACCAACCACCACATCAATCCATTTCATAGACAACAAATTGCTGCCTTGCTTATAGACTGAGACCTAGATCTCATTCAGACGGTAAACCCAAGATATTTTGCTGCCTGGGATAAATGTCACCTCCTTCCTGATTCTATATATATAGAAGCTGATTAGATTGTCTGTTGAATCTTACTTCAATGTGTATATGTGCCTTCAAGTTGCCTATTGACTTATTGTGGCCATATGAATTTGATAACGTTTTCTAAGAGAAGGACTACCCAGAAGTGGTTTTGCCAGTTCATTGCTCTGAAATATAGTCTAATACAGTATTTTCTCCTGTTATATCAGTGGTTTTCAACCTGTGGGTCCCCAGATGTTTTGGCCTTAACTCCCAGAAATCCTAACAGCTGGTAGTCTGGCTGGGATTTCTGGGAGTTGTAGGTCAAAAACATCTGGGAACCCCAGGTTGAGAACCACTGCGTTATACAGTCAGCCACCCTATTAATGATAATGGGAGCATAAAATCCCCACAAAATGGAGAAAACCTTGGATACAAAAAATATTATATTACATGTAATATTACTAATAATATTACGATATAGTGGTATGGTGCAATATAGCAATGTTTAATATTGATATTGTACTATGCTAATAATATAATATATTGTATGTAATATATACCGCTCTGAGTCCCCTTTGGGGTGAGAAGGGTGGCATATAAATGTTGTAAATAAATAAATAAATACAAAACACGATTATTTAACCTGAAGGAACACCTCACTAGGAATCTCTACTGCAACTCTGTGCTCATCTTCTGTGGTAGACAAACCATATTAGTTAATGGGTTGTTGTAGGTTTTTTTGGGCTATATGGCCATGTTCTAGAGGCATTCTCTCCTGACATTTTGCCTGCATCTGTGACAAGCATCCTCAGAGGTAGTGAGGTCCGTTGGAGCTAGGAAAATGGGTTTATATATCTGTGGAATGACCAGGGTGGGACAAAGAACTCTTGTCTGTTGGAGCTAGGTGTGAATGTTTCAAGTGACCACTTGATTAGCATTTGATGTCCTGGCAGTGCCTGGAGCAATCTTTTGTTGAGAGGTGATTAGATGTCCCTGATTGTTTTCCCTCTGCTGTTTTGCTGTTTTAATTTTAGAGGTTTTTAATACTGGTAGCCAGATTTTGTTCATTTTCATGGTTTCCTCTTTTCTGTTGAAATTGTCCATATGCTTGTGGATTTCAATGGCTTCTCTGTGTAGTCTAAAATGGTGGTTGTTAGAGAGTGGTTCAGCACTGTTACCTCTGAGGATGCTTGCCATAGATATAGGTGAAACATCAGGAGAGAATGCCTCTAGAACATGGCCATATAGCCCGAAAAAACCTTCGACAAAACATATTAATTAAATTCACAAATAATCGTATCTGAAAAAAAAAAGAAAACTTGCAAACTCGGAGGGCCCAGTGTGGTAATAATTCTACTACACAGTGAAGACTTTTTAAAATATAGAAGAATTTTTGGTCATGTGAGATTGAAGGTGAAAACTGTAAGACTGTAAGCTGAAGGTGGAAAATGAGGCCAAGACCCACGGAACAATTGTCTCTCTGTTTCTGAAAGCTGATTGAAATGCTCAAGAATGACACATATAACAGTGTACATTTCAAAGTGCGTATGTTTATGTGAATGAGCTCTTGCAATCTTCCCATTCCACAGAAAAACACAACAACCGTACTTAGACACGGGGGAAGGCAGTGTCCACAACTGAATCTGAGGACATTTTAGGGAATTTAGGACAATGTATTGTCGAAGGCTTTTATGGCTGGAATCACTGGGTTGTTGTAGGTTTTTCCGGGCTATATGGCCATGTTCTGGAGGCAATTTTTCTCCTGACGTTTCGCCTGCATCTATGGCAAGCATCCTCAGAGGTAGTGAGGTCTGTTGGAAGTAGGAAAAATGGGTTTATATATCTGTGGAATGACCAGGGTGAGACAAAGGACTTTTTTCTGCTGGGGCTAGATGTGAATGTTTCAGCTGATCACATCTAGCCCCAGCAGAAAAAAGTCCTTTGTCTCACCCTGGTCATTCCACAGATATATAAACCCATTTTTCCTACTTCCAACAGACCTCACTACCTCTGAGGATGCTTGCCATAGATGCAGGCGAAACGTCAGGAGAAAAATTGCCTCCAGAACATGGCCATATAGCCCGGCAAAACCTACAACAACCCAGAATTTAGGACAGTTTGCCTGAAATACATACATAGACTAGTTGCATCGAGTAGCTGCTTCTACTTACTTTCCTTAACAAGAATCTACTGCCTGAAATAGTTACCTCACTCTGCTTAATGGGAGGTCCAGCTCTGGTCCAAGCTAAGACTTGACTATAGGACACTTCAGAATGCTATTGAATCGGAGATCAGATTGTGGTGCTTATGATAGCTATTGGGCACTCCAGAAGACCTGGTTCATAATTCTTACCTGAACTGTGAAGCACTCCAAAAATCTACTAGACCAGTTCTTATTTTATTGTCTAATAGGAGGCAGATTCAGCTTTCTCACCTCATGAACACAGCGGAATAATTCCCAGTGGAAGGATGTAAGATGATTTGCCACATCTTCAGCCTCAACACGGTGGATTTCTGTGTCACCTGGAGATACCTGGATTTCATCAGGGAGAGGGACCTAGACAATAGACCAAATTTGGTAGGAAGAAATTTTTTTAGAAGCATGAACTGAAATGGGTTGATATATTCATAATGCTTTTTTTTTTTTTTGTCGTGTCAGGAGCGACCTGAAAAACTGCAAGTTGCTTCTGGCGTGAGAGAATTGGCTGTCTACAAGGGCGTTGCCCAGGGGACGCCCGGATGATTTGATGTTTTTATCATCCTTGTGGGAGGCTTCTCTCATGTCCCTGCATGAGGAGCTGGAGCTGATAGAGGGAGCTCATCCGCCTCTCCCCGGATTAAAACCTGCGACCTGTTGGTCTTCAGTCCTGCCAGCACAGGGGTTTAACCCACTGCACCACCGAGGGCTCCATTCATAATGCTCAGGGCAGAGAGAACTCTTTCTGACAACTGCAACATTATGAACCCATGGACACCCATAACAGCAACAGAGGTTTCATTCACACTGTCTGATTATAATATTGTGTTTCCACTTCTGCTATATGAAATATGTAGTTTAGGGGAAGGAAATTTAAAATTCTTAACCAGAGAGATCTGGTTCCTCATCAAACTATAAATAATAACAATAACAATAATAATACTTTATTTGTACCCCCCCCTTCCAACAAAAGTAACAAAATGACAAACATTCAATGCCAAACACAGACCATGATAAACCAAATCAAAACAATGGATAAAACAATCTCAAAATCTATATAAATAAAAATGTAATGTTCGTTTGTAACTGAAAAACCACTGGACGAATTGCTGCCAAATTTGGCCACAAGACATCTACTAACCCAAGGAGTGACCATCACTAAAAATGATTTTTTCATTTGGGAGTGCAGTTGTTGGGATTTATAGTTAACCTACAATCAAAGAGCATTCTGAATTCCACCAATGATGGAATTGAACCAAACATGGCACACAGGACTCCCATGACCAACAGAAAATACTAGAAGGGTTTGGTGGACATTGATGTTGAGTTTGAGAGTTGTAGTACATCTACATCCAGAGAGCACTGTGGACTCAAACAATGATGGAGCTGGACCAAACTTGGCATGAATATTCCATATGCCCAACTAGGAACACAGATGGAGCTTGGGGGAAATAGACCTTGACATTTGGGAGTTGTGGTTACTGGGATTTATAGTTCACCTACAATCGAAGAGCATTCTGAACCCCACAAATAACACAATTGGGGCAACTTCCCACACAGAACCCCTATGACCAATAGAAAATACTTAAGGCCATCCAGTCCAACTCCCTTCACCAGGGCAAGAAAACATAATCAAGAACTGTTTACCCACAAGCATAAAGAAATTACATATATTAGAAACCAACACTTTCTCATTACTTTATTTTCCAGATCACCAGACTGGGCCACAGCAACGCATGGAAGGGGGCGGCTAGTAAACTTATAAAACTAAATAAAATAATGCATGATTGAGCTTAAATAAACATAATATAACCCATCACATACAACCTCCACAGGCTGAAGTAGACATCCAATATTTAGGTGAGGATATATATATATATATATATATATAAAGGGGTACTAGTCTTCCTCTCCATATCTTAAGGTGCATAAATGAGTTTTTAAAACTTTTTAAAGGAGAGGAGGGTGGGGGCTGTTTTTATTTATTTAGGGAGAGAGTTCCAGAGCAGGAGGTCAGCCACAAAGAAGGCCCTTCTCTCATTCCTCCCAAACATGCTTGAGATGGGAGCGGGACTGAGAGGAGGGCCTCCTCCATTGACAGCAGTGCTTGAGGTGGTTTGTATATGGAGATGCGGTTTTTCAAATAGTCTGGACATGGGAATGAATCCCAGGATTCCACGGGATGCAACCACGGTCATTAACATGAACTCAAAGTGCTGTAATTGTATAAAGTCAATGTGACAAGAATGCAAATGCACACACCAATGACTAGACAGATATAGCACAGAAATACAAACTAAGGTTCTGCTCTGTGAGCCAAGAGAGAAATACAGAAAAGCAAAAGGTTGGACCTAGAGCTGACAAAAGTGACCTTTTTGGAGTGCCCCATAATTCCATTGGCCTCTCTGGCTGGGTGATTTCAGGAGTTGCAAGTCCATAAAATCACAACTTTTAAAAGCTGAGGTCAGGAAGAAATAATTGACTCACCAGGGATGGAAAAGATTCCTTAGTGCAGGCAAAGAGATGGCTGTTTATCCCCAAGGTTGTGAAAACACACTCTTCATTGGGCTGTAGCACAGATTTCTCTGGTGTTTAAGAAAAAAACAATAGTTAACTGAATGATCTGAGATGTCATGCACATTATCAGAAATTCCAAAAACATTTCCATTGGAGAATTTTGGTCAATAGCTTTTGGTTCAAAATTTGGGAGAATCTGGGAGAATTGTCTTTCTAGCTCAAATACATCTGCAGCTTAAGATTCCCCCCACACCCAATTTTCTGCTAAAGAATACAACTTGACTCTCTTATTCAAGATATCTAGATATAAATGTCCATTGTACAATGTGTTTTGGGCCGTATAGAGATGGATTTCAGAATAGGAGCTCATGTTAGCCTGTGTCATCAAAACATCTTGGACAACTATAACCACCATACACGTTTAATTAATTGCTACACTCTCATTTATTCAGATTGCCCAAGTAAGTCTGAAATATCTGCAAATCCTAATATGGCTTTGTCAGAACCAGGTAGCACAATTACCAACTTTTCATATGCGTTTACTCCTTTAATGATGACTTCCACTCAAAACCCCCCCCATAAAAATGCATTTTTTAAAACCTGAGAGAATGCCTCTCTAGTAATTTCTAGGTCCTCCAGGAAGAGAAGGAGTTTCTGTTAATTTGTCCCCACACATTCCCTGTGAGACAGTTACCTCCTGATGATGCTACTGTCACCAGGATGAGAGCCTCTTCCCGTGAGGGCTGTTCATCAGAATACTGGAGCTTCTCTGTCACTGAAGAAAGGATGTCCTGCACAGAAGCTGAGAGGCGACTGCGAATTGTGACATAGGAGTGGTCAGGCATGTAGACACGACAGAAAACTAGAAAAAGACAGGGCAAGAAAAGGCAGAGGTATGAGATTTTCAACTGGAAGGGGACAACAGTGATGGTTTCATTCCTACTAATACCAATATCTTCCTATATCTGACTGTGGTTAGACACTGGATGTCAGAATATCAACAAATGAAATATGGAGAGAGGTTGAAATAGTAGGGATCTTGTAGCAGTGATGGGGACATAAGAGAATCCAGTCTTCTCTCATTTTCAAAGCCTTGAGGTGCTTTCCGGATTCACACCAATACCAGCAACACTTGTGAGAAGTGGTGGCCTTCCCTCACTGATACAAGTTCAGGCACCTTTACTATTATATCAGAATTAGAGACTGAAGTATTATAATATGCTTTATGTTGGGCTGCTTCTACTAACTCCTCAAAAGCTTCATCAGGCACAAAATGTTGGTCCAGCAGAGCTTGGTGAAGTTACTTTTTTTTTTACTATAACCCCCCAAATCCCCCAATCAGCATGCCCACTGGGAATTACTCCAAAGAAGTAACTTTGCCAAGCTCTGGCTCAGCTTCTGATGTTAGAAGGCTGAACCCTATTGGTTTGGTCCTGGCAGGATCTTATTATTATATTTCAGAAAGGTGATACTGGAAACTAAGGGTAGCTCATAAATTCCTGCCCAGTGAAGGTCCAGCATCCCTAAACAGCATCCCTCCATCACAGTTGTCTTGCCAAGATCAACAGGAGTAGTAGTATTATTTATACTTTGCTTTTTCTCTCTAAGGTGAGACTAAAGCAGCTTACAGTAAAACCAATAAAATACAACAAATTCTGCCACGAAAATCCTTATAGAATTTTGACTGTCAAAAAGGATTTGAAGGCAAACAACTACAATTTATACATAATATTTTTTAAAATAATTTTTATTGTGGCTTTTTACAGTGAAGTTTAAAATAGTTTTTTTAAAAAGAAAGAAAGATGTAACAAAAAATAACCTAAAAAGATTTGGGTAGAGAGAAAAATACGAGGAAAAAAGAGGAAAGAAAAAAATGATGCATAAATTGTTGTTGCTGGATTTTTTTATACATAATTTTTATACATAATATTTTGATGATTCCATTTCATATATGCTACTTGACACCTTGTAAACCTTTAATAGTTCCAGTATTTTTTCAACATTTCTCTTTTCTGCAGGTGTCCCAATTCCTAATGTCCTTTGTTTAGGAAAATTATATCCTTATATCTCTCTGTAATTTATTTACCATATCTATTTACCATATTTATACCCCACCCTTCTCACCCCGAAGGTCGTGTTAGGTCGGCAAGGGGGAAAACCTGTTTGAAATGGTCATGGAGAACTACGATCAAATGTTGCAGCCAGTATTCAGCTATGAATAGTCTAAATCCTACATGTTTTTACCCAGATAAAACATAATGTTGGTAGACAACAAAAGAGATGTAAAGATGGGCTTAGAGATAACCTTAAAAATGTGGTATAAACACCAATAACTGGGAAGCTGTTCTCAACAGTGCTATGGATTTTGAAGAGCCACAATATGGGGCGAAAGAGATGCACGAAAAGGAAGGTGCATCAAACAAATCATCCATCTTGAAATCAATGTTCTCATTGTGAAAGACCATGTGGATCCAGAATAGGTCTCCACAATCACTTATGGGCTCACCATCAAGACTCTATCCTTGGAAGACAATCATACTCGTGCAAGAGTGATCACCTATAGATAGACCACTCCTGCTGCTGCTTTAATACTCACTTTCATCTGACCCACGAAAAGCAACCCGTGTCTGAAGGCATGAATCAATGCGCCGGAAATGCCTGAAGAGGGGTTTGACCTGTTTGCTGGGAGGATGGCTTTCTTCAGTCACCCTGTAGACAGAAGGCAAGGTTTAGAAGCCAGAAGATGAGTGGGTCACTCCAGCTGCAAAATGAATCATGGTTTCAGAGAATCATGAAATTAATATAGTTGTGAGAGAATTATACCCTCCAAAATCTCACAGATGAAGACTTTCACATGTGTAGCCAAATAAGCTCATATCGAAGACAAGATGGGGAATGCTATAAATAAAGAAGAGGAGACAACAATGGTTCACTTTTGACTGTGCTTAGATGAAGATTCCACACCCTCCTTTCCATCTTGCTGAGTTAGTTGAATGCAAACAACTTTTTCACTTTGAATTCAGTTTGAGGCAAATAAATTCTAGGATAATTCGGCTACTTTTGACTTCCTTAAACTACATGTGCATTACAAGTCTTATAGGATTGTAACTGTGATGACCCATTATAGGGGATAATTGGACTTGTGGTTTAGTAGAAACTTAGAACTCTGTGCTAGAGAGGCTAATGTACTCTCCTGAACTATATTTCCCAAAAGTAATCGATTTCTCAGAACCTATTTTCAGGTTACTGTGAACGATAGTACTAGAGCAGTGGTTCTCAACCTGGGGGTCTCCACGTGTTTTGGCTTACAACTCCCAGAAATCCCAGCCAGTTTATCATCTGTTAGGATTTCTGGGAGTTGAAGGTCAAAATATCTGGGGACCCTCAGGTTGAGAACCACCGTTCTAGAGGTACTCCAGAGTAATTAGCAGAGAAGTCAAAAACACCTTAGTAGGATGGAGCCATTGCCACTAACATCATCATAAGCTATACCTTGTGGCCGAATATTTATTGCCTTCCAAGTGTAGGGTCTTGGTGGGTCTGTAGGTAACTGTAGAGAACCATCCTTGGTCTGCATGTTCTTTTGCAGTAAGGACATTGATTTCCAGGTGGAAGGAAGACCTGAGAAGGGTTGGCTTGATGCGTCTTCCTCTTGACACATTTCTCTCTATTCGTGCCTCTTTGAATTCCACAGCTGATCTCCAGTTAGAGCACTCAAGGGTCAGAGCTTCCCAGTTCTTGGTGTCTATGCCACAGTTTTTAAGGTTAGATTTAAGCCCACCTTTAAATCTCTTTTCATTCCATTTTCCGTTGTTGAGTTGGGAGTATAGTAACTACATTGGGAGACCGTGATCAGGTATTCAGACAACGTGGCCAGTCCAGCGGAGTTGATGGCATAGGAGCATCGCTTCAATACTGGTGGTTTTTGTTTCTACCAGTACTCTGACATTTGTCCGCCTGTCTTCCCAAGAGATTTGCAGGATTTTTCAGAGGCAATGCTGATAAAATGGTTCCAAAAGTTGAGTGTGACATCTGTGGACAGTCCAAGTTTCACAGGCGTATAACAGGATTGTGAGGAAAAAAGCTTTATAAATAAACATCTTGGTATCCCTACAGACATCCCAATCCTCAAACACTCGTTTCATTTGAAAAAATGCTGCACCCGGAAAGCTCATACGGTGTTGTATTTCAATGTCGATGTTGACTTTTGTAGAGAGGTGGCTGCCAAGGTAGCAGAAATGGTCAACATTTTCTAACGTTACACCCTTAAGTTGTATTTCTGGCCTTGAAGAGGGATTATATGATGCCTGCTGAAAGAGAACTTTGCTTTTCTTGATGTTGAGTGAGAGACCAAGCTTTTCATACGCTTTTGCAAAGGTGTTCAGAGTGTCTTGTAGGTATTCTTCTGAATGAGCACAGATTACATTATCATCAGCATATTGGAGTTCTATAATAGACAGTCTGCTGAAGTGAAATAGCTTGCCATCTGTCCGATAGACGATTTTCACCCTGGTAGAAAGCTTTCCATTAACAAGGCGCAACATCACAGCGATTAAGTTGGAAAATAAGGTTGGGAATATTATAGATATTCTTATAAAGTTAGCTGCTTCTCTGTGTTTCAAGCTATTTTAACTAAATGGCTGTTATTTAAGGCATGTGTGTAGTCTTGTTTCCTGTATTCCAAAGTTGCCACCAATGTTTTAGGTGGTAAAGTGACAGAAATAAAAACACTTGGTCTTTTCTTTCGCAGGTCTCATTATTCTTCCATCTTCCAGCCTTCTGCAGTGGGACAACATTAACACCCTACTTGGTTCAGTATACACGATTGCAGCACTATTATTCTACTTTAACTACCAAGACAGCCTACTTCAGCATCCTAGGATTTGCAGTTGACAGAGGTGCATGAAGAATTGTCATCCAGTGAACTCCAGGACCTCACCAACCTACAAACAGACAGGATTCCAAAGGATGCAGTCAGGGCAGTTCAAGGGCAATCATGGTGCTATACTTGTGCAATGTGAATAAGTCCAAGGAAAGCAAATTCTAAGCTCCCACCACTGTCATCACCACCCAACTGCTTTTTTACTACAAGGATGGGAATGATGTGTCCCCTCCCTGTGTGGGAGGAAAACAGACTCACGAAAAAACAAGGCTGGTATGCATCCATACCATTAAAGATACAGCTAGACTGCTTAGTTTGCAAGATGGCAACCTTTTATCGTCTTCAATTTAAATCACAAATTCCCTGCCACAGTTCAAATTCCCTGCTACAGTCATTAGTAGCATAAGTTACAGGCAGGAAGAATCTAGTTGTGATCTTTGTCTCCTATTAATTTGCCTTCTGAAAGCCACTATGTCTGACCACCAGCTTCCATATTTAATATCTAACTAATACTATTAATCTACCGAGGGTTGGTGTAGACAGGCACATTGTTGTAGACTGGGTGGCAGAATTGCTGTCGTCTGGGTGATAGAAAGGGTAAGCATAATTGTCATTATTTCAATTTTAAGGGCTAGACTCATTGACAAATCTTGCTGTGTGCCTTCAAGTTGCTTCTGACCTATGGTGAACCTATGGTGACACTATCACTAGATTCCAATGCTAAGCGGGGAATCAAACTCTAGTTTCTAAAATTGTAGTCCAATGTTCATTGAAGGGAAGAATATTAGAAGCAAAGATGAAGTACTTTGGCCACATAATGAGAAAACAGGAAAGCTTGGAGAAGATAGTGGAAGGGAAAAGGAAGAGGGGCCAACCAAGGGCAAAATGGCCGGTGGTATCCTTGAAGTGACTAGCTTGACTATGAAGGTGCTGGGGATGGCCACGGCCAACAGGGAGCTCTGGTGTGGGCTGGTCCATTAGGTCACAAAGAGTTGGAAGCGACTGAACGAATAAACAACAACAAGTCCGATGCTCAAAACACTACAGATTGTATGATTGAGAGATTGGACAATTGAAAACTGTTCTCCCGGTGCTGTTTCTTTTTGTATTCACACAAGCTCGAAGATAGGAGCCCTCGGTGGCGCAGTGGGTTAAACCCCTGTGCCGGCAGGACTGAAGACCGACAGGTCAGAGGTTTGAATCCGGGGAGAGCGTGTATGAGCTCCCTCTATCAGCTCCAGCTCCCCATTGTGGGGACATGAGAGACACCTCCCACAAGGATGGTAAAACATCAAAACATCCGGGTGTCCCTTGGGCAACGTCCTTGCAGACGGCCAATTCGCTCACACTAGAAGCGACTTGCAGTTTTTTTAAGTTGCTCCTGACACGACAAAAAAAAATGCTCGAAGATTTGATTCCCAATTTTCAGTTCTAGGAAGTTAGAACTATTTTCTCTCTCGCATTTTTAAAAAGGAGCTTTAAATTAGTAAACCTCATCAACATAATTAATATAATTAATGTTAATGCTTCATCAACATAATTAATTTAGCTAAAAGAGTACTGCAGGAGATTGCCAAGATAGCTTAAGTTCTGCTGTCTGTATTTGCACATTTTACTCACTTAAGTTCAACTGTCTCCACAAGCTGATGCAGCTTCAAAATTTCTTCTTCCAGTTTCTGGTAGAGAGAGGAGTCCTTCATGATGAGCAGATAAAGATCCTGGGAGACAAAATAAAGCTAGATGGGCCATGAACGTCCTGACAACAACCAGCGAGGCACCTCATCTCCTTAATGATCACTTATACCACTTGGTACTGAATTTACAGAAGTGGTTTCATAGCTGCGAAATTTCATGTGATAATAGAGATCAAATACATTTGCTGGGGTTAGGGGCATAGTTTCCATGAAAGTGAAAAATGGTAAATAAATGAATTTGTAATTTTTTAACCTGAGAGAACTTTTCTCTAAGAATGGATAGAATAAAAGCTTGCAGTCAGACATTTTGTTTTTTAACAAGCAAGTTTTGAGTTCTCGCAAGAGTAAGTTTAGGAGGCCCCAGAGTACCTTGATGATTTTGCCTGCTTTCTCCTCCTCTTGCAAGATCCCTTTGTACGTCTCAAGGAAGTGCAGCAAAATAACCAAAACCGCTCGCTTCCGGTGCATGGCCTCACCTTCTTTCCAACAGGATGGCGAAGGGATTGTCGATGATGTCATGAAGGTGGCCACAGGGAGGTCAAGGACAAATCATGAGGTTAGATTTTAGACAGCAATGGTTTGGAAGACAGAAGGATAGACGAAAGCATCATGATATGGCACACATAGCGCTTCAGATGTCACTGGATTACAACTTGCAGCATTCCTCACCACTGGGAAGGCTGACTAAGGCTGCTGGGTGTTGCAGTCCAACAACTTTTGGAGGGCCATATGATTTAAATCCCTGCAGTGTGAGAGAAAGTGGGATGGATCTGCTCCCACATAGCAAGACCAGTACAGAATAACAGGTCTGGAAAAGAGACTAAGGGAGCATCTATACTGTAGAATTAATTCAGCTTGATTCCATTTGAACGAACACAATTCAGAGCCCCCAGTGGCACAATGGGTTAAACCCTTGTGCTGGCAGGACTGCTGACCAAAAGGTCAGCGGTTCAAATCTGGGCAGTGGGGTGAGCTCCCATCTGTCAGCTCCATCTTCTCATGCGGGGACATGAGAGAAGCCTCCCACAGGATGGTAAAACATTCATGTGTCCCCTGGGCAACACCCTTGCAGACAGCCAATTCTCTCACACCAGAAGCGACTTGCAGTTTCTCAAGTTGCTCCTGACACACAAAAAATAGCTATGGAATCATAGCAGTTGTAATTTTATTAGGTCTCCAGTCTTCTCTGCCAAAGAGTACTAGTGCCTCACTAAACTACATTTCTTAGAATGGCATAGTATTGAGCCATGGCAGTCAAAGTGGTGTTGAATTGTATTAATTCTGCTATGTAGATGCACACTAAAAGGTTATCAACTCCCTTTAATAGGAACCAGTAGTCCTCCCTGTGCCGGCAGGTCACAGGTTCGAATCCAGGGAAAGTGCGTATGAGCTCCCTCTATCAGCTCCAGCTCCTCATGCAGGGGCATGAGAGAAGCCTCCCACAAGGGTGGTAAAACATCAAAACATCCGGGCATCCCCTGGGCAGCATCCTTGCAGATGGGCAATTCTCTCACACCAGAAGCGACTTGCAGTTTCTCAAGTCACTCCTGACCAAAAAAAAACAACAACAAAACTTTTAATGATTATTTCCTTTCAATCCCTAATCACCAAAAAGTTGTGGACCTTGGTATTTGGTAAACAATCTAGTATAGTGAGAATTCTAGTTGAGTTCAGCCACAAATATGAACCAGAAAATCGAAGTTTAAGCTATTCTGCTTACTGAAGAACGCTAAGCTAAATGCTTTATCCAAGTCCTACCTGTTTTTCTTCTTGTTATCTTAACAAGGTATTTGTTAATGGTCTGAATACATGGTAGGGGATGAAAATGTAAACTAAAACAGCAATAACTGTCCATAAGATGTCATCTTCAAAAAATCCAAGTGTATCTAATTCCAGGGAAACAAAAAGAAAAAAGAAAAAAAAAGAAAGCCAGTTTCTAGATTGTGCAAAAATGATAGAGAGGCAGAAACAGCTGAAATTGGTCATGCAAGTAGACATCTAAAAATGCTTTAAATTGGACATATGGGTATGTGTACGTATGGAATCAGTATGAATCACAAAGTGGAGAAGATAACATTCCACATCTTTCCATCTACCAGTATCCATATTTTTGGCAACTGGGAGTGCTGTTAATTCAGGGCCCTTCAACACAGTCATATAACCCAGAATATCAAGGCAGGAAATCCCACAATGAACTGGGTTAATGTATATGTTTATTTTAGTATATGTCTCTTGATATGGAATCAAATTGCCGCCAATTGTAAAGCCGCTCTGAGTCCCCTTCGGGGTGAGAAGGGCAGGATATAAATATAATAATAAATAATAATAATCTGTGTCATATATTCCAGTTCAAAGCAGATATTGTGGGATTTCCTGCCTTGATATTTTGGGTTATATGGCTGCGTGGAAAGGCCCTCATAGAGACAATTGTTGCCTGTTTTCTGAAATTACCAAAATTCACCAAGTCTGCAGGTTTTTCAGTGAGTTACATTAAACAAAGCAGAATTTACTTCTGAGAAAACATTACCCGGATTTCCTTTTGAATTCTCCAGTAAATTAGATTAGGTCACTTATTTTCAACCTTTGGCCCTCCAGCTGCTCTGCCCTTCACTTCCCAGAATCACTTGTCAAACAAAACCCAGAGTTCTGGGCATAGAAATTCAAAACCAAAGGTTGAGGATCCCTGGGTTAGATTGAAATCTGCTTAGTGAAATAAACTGGATCAGGCACATTTTTGTACAGTTTTCTGTGTATGCTTTGTGTACCTATCCACTTCGCTTGAATTCTTATATCTCAGTATTGACATTTCTCTTTGGAGTTCAAGGAAGCACAGAAAAGCATCAACTAATTTGACAAATTAGGGTTAGGACTAAATTAGGACCAAGGGTTTTATCTTTCGTAGTAATCTGTAAAGATGATTTGTTGTAGACATGATAGCCATGTATAAATATTTGAGAGGAAGTCATAGGGAGGAGGGAGCGAACTTGTTTTCTGCTGCCCTGGAGACTAGGACGCGGAGCAATAGCTTCAAACTACAAGAAAGGAGATTCCACCTGAACATTAGGAAGAACATCCTGACTGTGAGAGCTGTTCAGCAGTGGAACTCTCTGCCCCAGAGTGTGGTAGAGGCTCTTTCTTTGGAAGCTTTTAAACAGAAGCTGGATGGCCATCTATTGGGGGTGCTTTGAATGCAATTTACCTGCTTCTTGGCAGGTGGTTGGACTGGATGGCCCATGAGGTCTCTTCTAATTCTATGATTCTATGTAGGGTGATCAGGCGCAAAAGGCAACAGCGATACTACACTTTTAGTATAGTGTGTAGTAGAAAGTAGTTGGTTTATAGGCCACACCTATTAGCATTCTCTTCCTGCACACTTACACACACAGCAGCCTACAGCACTTTCGAATCTGCACAATCTGCCTGGGTTTAAACCAAAATTATCATTTATTACAGGCAAATGGATATCTTCAACATATCCTACTAAGAGCATATAATTATTTTCTTGCTCCCCTAAAACAGCAGCCAGTAATGCAGAACTGGGATTGGGAAAATCTTGTAAGCAGTGCAGATTTCTTTTCCAATTGTATATTACTAGGAATGATGCTGGAAACGGCGTGTCTCGGTGATGCTCCCTTCATGCCACATCAAACTGTCCTACATAGAGAATGGCTTTGCCTACAACTTCTCAGAAAGCCTACCAGCTTTGTAGCAATCATATTTGTCTCACAATTCCCATAAAGCATGAATGGGAGAAGTGTGCTGTTGAAGGCTTTCATGGACGGAATCACTGGGTTGTTGTAGGTTTTTCAGGCTATATGGCCATGTACTAGAAGCATTCTCTCCTGACTTTTCTATTTATTTATTTATTTATTTACAACTTTTCTACCCCGTCCTTCTCAACCTCCCCCCCCAGCTAACATAGGCAACAACTTGATGCAACAATATCAATAAACAACAATATAAAACTATAAATACATTATAGATTAAAAAACAGAAACATTAATTATATAATCACATAGCCGCTTCCAATTATCATAACAATCATATGGTCCAGTTCAAAGTCCAAAGTGCTGCTGTGCCCGCTAGCTGAAAGCCTGGTTCCAAAACCATGATTTTAGTTTTTTCCTAAAGAAAAGGAGGGAGGACGCTGATCTAATCTCGCTGTGAAGCGAATTCCACAAGCAGGGGGTCACCACCGAGAAGGCCCTGTCCCTCATACCCACCAGTTGCGTTTGCAAGGCCAGTGGGACCAAGAGCAGAGCCTCCCCAGTAGATCTTAAACTACGAGATGGAATGTAGAGGGAGATACCTCACAACCTCTAAGGATGCCTGCCATAGATGCAGGCGAAACATCAGAAGTGAATGTTTCTAGAACATGGCCATTTAGCCTGAAAATCGTACTACAACCCAAAGAGCTCCTCCAAACATCTGGGAACTCAAGGTGGATATTCACAAGGGAGTTCTGGTTTGCCATTGCTTGAAAACTTCCTCATTAAGCATGAACTATTTCTGAGATAGTGATATCTAGGCCTATATACTTTTTAACTGGAGATGCCAGTGACTGAACTGGCATCTCATATATGCAAAGCATAATCTCAATCGTTTAGTTGTGAAGTCTCTTAAAAAGAACTTCTTACCCCTCTTTGAATAAAAATTAGGTTACTAGTTCCTTCTCTTTCCACTGCATCACATCCAGATGTGGGACACATTAATATGGGGAAGTGTCAAAACAGAGAAGGTGGGTAGGATTTTTCCTAGAATTGCAGAGTCAGATCTGTAGGAGGAAACTTCACCGTTTGAGATACAAGCTTGACAAATTCCTTTTGTCTGCTCAATTAATATAATGTATTCACCTTTTTCTAGGCCAAAGAACATTGACACATCAAGAGATACTGAACTGGGAGTGTAGTAAGGGGGAGAGGTTGGGTGGTGGAGAACTAACTACTAGAAAATCCTCTTTGTCTTCTGGTATTTCATCTGGTGAGGCTAAAACATTTTTTTTTTGCCACGAAGACTAGAGATTTGTTTCAAAACTGAGGTGGAAAGTATGGAGTCCTCCAGAAGTTCTTGAAATGTAATTGTTTGAATGCATCTCCCAATGTTTTTCACCACTGACTGTGATGACCAGGACTGTTGGGAGTTACAATCCAACAGCAGGAAGACCAACAGGTCGCAGGTTCGAATCCGGGGAGAGGCGGATGAGCTCCCTCTATTAGCTCCAGCTCCTCATGCGGGGACATGAGAGAAGCCTCCCACAAGGATGATAAAACATCAAAAATCACCCAGACGTCCCCTGGGCAACGTCCTTGCAGACGGCCAATTCTCTCACAACAGGAGTGGTTGCTCCTGACACGACCAAAAAAAAAAAAAAAAACAAAAAAAACCAGGAGGGTTATTACAATTTCCACCCCTGTTTTAAAACAATTTGAGCTGTAATTTCCAAGAGTCTAAAGCAGGGGTCCTCAAACTTTTTAAATAGGGGGCCTGGTCACAGTGCCTCAAACTGTTGGGGGGTTGGATTATAATTTGAAAAAAAACATGAATGAATTCCTATGCACACTGCACATATTTTATTTGTAGTGCAAAAAATACTTAAAAACAATACAATAATTAAAATGAAGAAGAATTTTAACAAAACGTATTAGTATTTCAGTGGGAAGTGTGGGCCTGCTTTTGGCTGATGAGATAGGGTTGTTGTTGTTGTTGTTGTTGTGTACTTTCAAGTTGTTTCAGACTTAAGTTGACCCTGAATGAGGGTCAGGTAAATGACCTTGGAGGGCTGTATCCAGTCCCTGGGCCTAAGTTTGGGGACCCCTGGTCTAAAGCATGGGGTCACCATAACTTGATAGGTGATTTGAAGGCCCACACACAAAAGTAAGTGTTATGGAACTGGCTTGGGCTGTGGGTGCCAGAATAGGAAAACTCACAAAACTCTCTACAGCAAAAATGGGTAATATGAAAGGATAAGGTGGGTAGAATTACTCTTGCAATTAAACACATTAGAAGGACATCTCTTCCTCTTTGTCCATCTCCCACAATCCCATCACTCTTAAAGGGACTTTTCCAAAGTTATATGCCATACAATATATGGAAAGGATATTGCTGATGCAGCTGATGCAGGAACTGCTCCGTGGGCAGGAACAACGAATGAGTGAGGACAATATCATCCAGGAGGAGATCTAAGAAAAATCAGGAAAGGAAAACAGAAAGAGTAAATCTCAATGTCTCACAACCCCTCTGGATAAAAGTTAGACTAGTATCAAGATAGTTGGAGCACCCTTTCTTTGAGTGATGTAACACACTCTCTCCAAATCTGGTGCCATTTTGCCAAGTCCCATCAGCCCCAGCTATTTATTTATTTATTTATTTATTTATTTATTTATTTATTTATCATATTTATATCTTGCCTTTCACACGCTGGAGGGAACCCAATGCGGCCTTACAACAGGCAGCAATTTGATGCCATATAAACAATTACAATTAAAACATGAATAATTAAAAACAACAATTAAAATCACGCCAACCAAAACATAATCCAGGGCCGTTCCATTTGTCAATCATATTGTTTCATAGTCACTTATTTCACTGCTCCAATTACTTGGAGCAGGGCAATAACATGGCCAATTGTTAAGTATAATGGGAGCTGATGACTACAATATCCAGAAAGAACCATGTTGTAGAAGACTGGTATAACAGAATGGAGCAAACAGACAGGCTATGCATGAGGCCACACAGATATTGAAACAAGCCTAAACCAAATTGCTTTCAAAGGCTCCACCTTGGAAAATGTTTTTGAGGTAGGCAGGGCTGCCAACTTTCATCTCCAATAAAGAAGTCAGAATGACTCTTTCCACCTCTCTGTCATTTCTTAGGTTGTTATTTGAACCAGGATGCATCATATGTACACCGAAACTCAGTACACATTGCTTCTGTCCTGGGAGCCAGCTTTGAAAAGTGACAACGGTGTGTTTCTGAGCATGTGCAAACAGTGTTTATACAATGAATAAAAACACAATCAGTTCCTGCATATTTTGCAAAGTGTGCATGTTTTAGACCCCAATGTTGTTTCAACTTCAATCACAAACCTAACCCTCCCAAAATTTGTTCACACATTTTCTTGATCACAACTGTATACATTTTTCTTTTGCTACTGTTCAATATGGCAAAACTAATCATAAAGAAGCAAAGGTCACAAGTCAAAAGCCGAAAAGGAAGATAAGCAATACAGAAGGGGATGGGGAACAGTGGCCCTCCAAATATTACTTGACTGCCATTTCCATGATCCATGACTACTGGCCATGCTGAGGGGAGTTATATGCCAAAAAGCATATGGAGACCCACTAGAAGTCAAAACCACGTTTATATATATATATATGCCTCTAAATGCCTGAATGGAAAGCATTGTATCACATTTTTAGCCCCTGTGCAACTTTAGGTCAAGGAGAAGCCTTCTCCTAAAACTGGAAGTAAGCATGAAGTTTTTAATTACTAAAAACCCTCTACTGTGCCCAAAATAAACAAGTGCTCTTCAAAACATTGCAAATGAGCCATAGAAAGCATCTAGGGTGTTTTTTATTTGGGAGGTCAATGGTTTCCAAGATTTTTTTGACCAGGGTCCACTTGACCAGGGATGACTTTGACCAGGGCCGACTTTGACCAGAGATTACTTTGCCCAGGGACCACTTTGACCAGGGACCACTTGACCAGGGATCAGTTTGACTGGGGACCACTCTGACCAGGGAACATTTTGACTAGGGATTACTTTGACTAAGGACCAATTTGACTAGGAACCACTTTGACCAGGGACCACTCTCCACCAGTAGTACCAAAGGGGTTACGAACCAGTTTTTGATCAACTTTAGATTCACTTTGGTTATTTGAGCTGCTGATTCAAAAATTGCATTGGACAGACCACATCAGCTCTAGTTTCTGATACAGAACATATGCCATCCAGTAGTCACCAACTGCTCATCCATAGAAAACCATATTTAATAATCTAGAGCTGATGTGGTGTATCCAATGCAATTTTGTGAATCACCACCCCAAATAGCCCCAAGAACAGACCTAAAAACGAAGACACCAAGGCGCCCCGCTCAGGGGGAGGGAGGAGAAAGAGAAGCAGCAGTCAGGAGGCTTGTTGTCATGTCTTTCGTTAGTAGTCAGCCTCTTCACTCCCGACATCCGCGTTGCATCGGCACTATAAGAGGTTTTGTGAGACCAGTCACTCTAGTTGCAATGGTATAGTAACAGTGAGGCTGCAGACCATATTTAATTCTTGGGGATCACTGATGGTCCATGGACCAGAGTTTGGGAACCACTGCTGTAAGGTCTCTTGAGCCTTTTGAAATCCTTTTATCAAAACGGGACATAACCAGCATACTTCCAGTATACTTCTGGTTATGAAGGAAAGAAAAGCCCCTCTTGGGATGCCTCCCCAACATCCCTAGTAAAATTTGGGGCTAATAAAAATATTTACCTAGTTACCTATTGTTGCCCCTTATTTAACATAAAATAATACAAAGGATCAATACTGTTCCACAAGGTTTGTGGGTCCTGCTGCCTTTACCCAGCAAAGCGAGGAGCAAGCAAGATAAGAGCCCTTCTCATTAGGTGACAGCAACACAAAAATTGAAAAAAGTAAATCAGAACTGAGGGAACATGAGGTGTAGCGAGGGCTTTTTTGTTCCCATCAAGTTTTTGTAAGACAAGGCTTCACTCTTAAGAATAAAACCTATTTCAGATTCTTTTCCTCTTCTCCTTTCTTGGCAACAGTCACAGCTCTTCTAGCTTCAAATGGTTATGACAGCAGAGGTGGCAGATGCACTACAACATTCAGGCACCCAGTCAAAAAGTAAAAAGAAGCACCCTACATCCACTAAATTTGTCAAATCTGTTCCCATCAAGTGCTATTTGCAGCATCAAATGGAAAGCTCCCAGTGAGATTATATATTACTAATGCAAACAGCAGCCATGGATGAGGGGAGAGATCACAGCAGGTGCAACATGTTAAATCCCCTATGTATAACTAGGAGCCCTCCCTTTGTGGCTATTTATTTCAAACAAATAAACATGTAATTACTAATTGGACGACTATAATTACTTCTATTTCTGACTAAGCTAGTGGCTGCTAACACATCCAGCTGTGAATTCTAATATGGATCGCATACAGAGTACTTTACTGGTGTTCAGCTTCATAACTGAACCCGGGTCTTTTACTGGCTGAAACAAAATACAAGGTGATGCATCCCCTCTATGCCATGCACAAAGCAGCTAGATGCTTCTTCACTCACCACTCCACTCCTCAGCATCCTATGTTATTTGGGTTTATAACAGTGGGTCCCAACCTGTGGTCTGTGGGCCACCAGTGGTATACAAGAACGAAAATATGGTCTGCAGTCTCGGCATTACTACACCGTTGCCTTGAAACCACGTGGCAACGAGAGCAACTGGTCTCGAAAAATCCTCTTATAGTGCTGAGGCAACGGGGATGTCGGAAGAGAAGAGGCTGACTACCAACGAAAGATTACTACTACCACATCAGCTCTAGATTATGAAATATAGTTTTCTGTGGGCGAGCAGACGGTGACTACTGGATGGCATATGTTCTGTATCAGAACCTAGAGCTAATGTGGTCTTTCCAATGCAATTTTCTAAATCAGCATCCCAAATAACCAAACCAAATCTAAAATTGACCAAAAATTAATTAGTAATCCTTTTGGTACTGTTGGAAAGTGGTCCGTGGCCCCTGGTCAAAGTGGTCCCTGGTTAAAAAAAAAAAGGTTGGGAACCACTGGTTTATAGCGACAGATGTAGCTACAACAAAGAACCTCCACCATCATACCTATGTCTCCTGATGCAGAATCATGCGCAAGTCTTTCTAAATGATGAGAAAGGAGAGGCTTCCTGGTTGCTTCTTCACCCACTGCCCCACTTCCCAGCACCTGAGAAATTCCTATGTTGGTGAAGCTCCCTGTTTATCACACGGGTTTTCGAGGGTTGCATCAGCAGATGTAGCTACAACAATAGAGCTCCATCATTATAGCTATTTCTCAAAAAAGAGACCTCCTTAGAGCATGAGAAAAAAGACACCACACCCAGGAAGCACACAGATCAACATGCAGATCTTCAGGTTTGTTGTTTACAACCTCTCATTCCAATATTCTAATACTGTTATTTTGATCGATATCTTGCAATATGAATGAATGCCAATGCCTAAGCTTCATGCCTTCTCCCAAGATGCTCCATTCTACTCCTTTCCCAAAGTTAGGCCCCATCTACACTGCCATATAAAATCCAGATGATCTGCTTTGAACTGGATTATTTGGCAGTGTAGAGCCAACCTCAGCCATCGTTCTGTAATTAGTGATCATGACCAACCCTCATTAGGCTGTTTCCTCCAGCCCCAGATCATATTTCTAAAGATTTTTTTTTCTGGAGACCTTTGATTTCCATGCATGTTGATGCCTTCCAGTTTTTTGTTGTATGTGTCTGTGTCAGGACTGACTTGAGAAACTGCAAGTTGCTTCTGGTATGAGAAAATTGGCTGTCTGCAAGGACATTGCCCAGGGGATGCCTGGATGTTTTAATGTTTTACCATCCTTGAGGGAGGCTTCTCTCATGTCCCCACATGGGGAGCTGGAGCTGACACAGGGAGCTCATCCACACTCTCTCCGGATTCGAGCGCCAGACTTGTCGGTCCTCAGTCCTGCTGGCACAACCCTTAACCTATTGTACCAGCAGGGGCTCCTTCCAGTTATCATAATATAGAGAATATGGGTGCCTTTTCATATTACACAGATATATTTAGCACTTTATCCATCAACCCTATCCTTTGGCAAGTGATTTGCATCAGTTGCCCGCCCGAACTCAGTACTGTGCACTATTCAGACAACTGAAGGTTGCTAGATGTTCGCTCTGTATTGTATTCTGTGGTTGTTTTATACTGTTTGAAATGCTTTTATGAATTTTGTTGTTACATTTTAACTATGTTGAATCTCAGGCTTGTCCCCATATAAGCTGCCCCGAGTTGTTGTTGTCATCATTATTGTTGTTGTTATTGTCATCATTATTATTTGAAACACAACAAGATGAGTCCACAGCAAACAAGATCACTGTGCTGGCTGTTGAATTGGATCACGCGTCAGACACTTCCCAAGTATCTAGGACTATGTGATGTATC